CGCGAGCTTAGACGGCTTCATTGCGCAACGACGAGAAGAGACTCATCGCCACCATCGCCTACCAGCTTGCACAATCGATACCCGACACGCTACCACTTATCGAGAAGGCTATTGAATGCGACCCTGCTGTGTTTTCCAGGTCTCTCGACTCGCAGATACTCTCGCTAATCATCGAGCCCCTTAACCAAGTGCATGATTCAGCTGGTGTAGAGAGCAGAAGCTGGCCCCACCTCATCCTCGTTGATGGTCTCGATGAATGCGGCGGAGCGCTGGTTCAGCAGCACATTTTGGACGCTCTTGTGAATCTTGGGACAAAATCCAGATTCCCGCTCCTCTTGCTCGTTGCCAGCCGGCCGGAGACCCATATCACAGCGACGTTTAATCAAGATAAATTCAAGAGCTACGTCATCCGTACTGCACTGGATAACGATTATCGTCCTGAAGAAGACATTCGACGTTTCCTCGAAGGAAAATTTAAGGAGATCAAGGAATCACATCCTCTCCGCGACTACCTCCCTCCAGATTGGCCATCAGTCACAGTTATCGACAAGCTTGTTTGGAAATCTTCTAGACAATTCATTTATGCCGCCACTGTTGCGAGATATGTATCGTCTCCTGATTGTCATCCAGCTGAGTGCCTCGACGTGGTGCTCGGACTCTCACCTTCCAGCGGACTGGGGTCACCGTTCGCGGAACTTGACGAGCTATATTATCAGATCCTTTCGTGCTTGTCTCCTGGAGAGACACCGCAACGTATCCTTGCCTTGATTGTTTTTCCTGGGCGCTGGGATTCGGAACCTCGGCAATTCGACTCCATCCTGGGCCTGCGAAAAGGAGTTTCCCAACAGGTCATCCACAGGTTATCGTCGCTCGTCAAAATCGTGGACAACTCAAAAGTTGAGCTCCTCCATGCCTCCCTGGCTGATTTCTTATTCGATGAACAGCGTTCACGCAAGTTCTACATCAACATTCCCACTTATGCTTCCTATTTTATCAAAATGTGTGTACGAATTTCGGCGGGTGATACTCGTGGGTGTCCACTTTGTTTCATTGTTATCCTGTCGTGGCTCAAGGTACACAGTTGAAGTAGTGCACAGGAGATTCGCTCATCGCAAAGCAGAATCCTTCTGCCGTGTTGCTACGCCCATAGAAGAGGTCTTGAACGATTTAGCAAGCTTCAAATTTCCAGCTCTAATCCCGAGTGGTGCGCGCCCAATGAGGTGGAGTTCAGATGGTCTAAAGCAAGAAAGCATCCTCATCCAAATTGCACATCAATATATGGACTGTCTTCGGGCCGTCAAGGTAGTAATTATTCATGAATCTCCAAACTTTCTCTGATGTTATTTGTAAGGAACGCGTTCCCAGTCCCAGTCCACCATCCTTCGTTCATTGTGAAGAGCGTATTCAGTCTGTCATCAGGTCTGAGATCGATCGCTATCGGACATCTGCACTGGCGTTGGTCCTCCTCGCTTTCTATACAGTGTCTCCAGAAGATGCCTTTAATCAACCCCGAGAGGCCGTTGATTTTCTGTTGGCACCCACTCAGCTCGAGAAGGCCCAGGACTTTGACTCTGCTATGTCTATCGATGATTCATCATTTCAACTTCGTGATCACCGATTCATCAGGCTAAGGAATGGCGGATACCGATATAGGTCATTGTTCGAAAGCAAGCTTACGGGTGAAGAATTTGCTAAGGCTGCGATGTTTGCGCTTTCCTACATTATTTCGTATCGGTAAGCTTACCGTTTGTCTTTTGCATGTTTTAAGCGCCGATTGGGTTGATGGCTGGTCTCTATTTTCAGGACAAAGCAACCTGTCACGGACGAAGACCTCATTCGTATGTTTATCTCAGGTCGGCCGGCCGAGTCAAAAGATGATCTCCGTCACATCGCTTGGTTGAAATACCATACCTCTTGCACAGCTATATCCTTGTTGACTGGAGAGTGAATAAAGTGACTTTTCGAAGTTCACTTTCGCACTTTGGCCTGCTTGCCTTAGCTGCCTCCACTGTGGGAAGCCAGGGCATTTTTAATGTCGGTTTGCGTCTGGCAATTTCCCTGTCCACGCCCACAGTTAAATTAACCGCTTGAAAAAGACATCATATTAATCGTATGTATAGCGCAGCGATATTCCCATTCTACGGTCCTTGCAAATTTACCTGCCCATATTGAAGTTGAATCTACGGTGCATGTGGTGCGGTTTTTTGTGCTGCTCGACAGTGCAGGGAAATTAACCGCCATTTGGGTGCAATAGAATTTGCCACTCACGTTTCAGTTTCTGCAGAGGGCCCCGGGCGAAGCACACCTCCGTTTTTACGTGGAGCCCGTGGCATTGTTCTTTCTGTTCAAGGACTACAGGCGGTCAGTGAACATTGAACACGTAGGCAATGACATGATACCATTTTGCGCCCGAAACGCAAGGGCTCATTGGTCCTAGCAATGTTCTTCTGAACGAGGTTAATAGGTATTTGCAGATGCAAAAGAAGAATACTCACATTTGGCTTGAGTATATCGTGAAAGATGCGCCCGTAGTCGGCAGGCTTTCTGTGCAGTCCATCGGCTTCAGTTTCCTTGTCTTGCATATCCTCCATGATCAGGATGTTGGCGACATGGGGCACGAGCAGAACATCAAGAAATTGCTGATCTGTTAGGTCCAATCCTCGAAGACCAAGCCACCACTTTCGGTCGACTCCTCCCACGGACACCTCCTTGAGCCCATCGGAAATTATATTGTCAAGGGTCCCAGCGAGAAGCCCACGAATGTCTTTGGCCTTGAAAAGGGCATAGAATGCCTCTTCGATGATCTTGGAACCCCTGGGGCCATAACTAGAGCACATCAGGGTAGAGAACGAAACCCGAAGAATTCACTCACTACCCGCTGTGGGCATTGTCTTTGATGACGTCCCGAAGCCCCTCCTCCCCCCAATCAGCCACATTTCTTGCAGTTGCGCCCCTCTCTCATAGGCGTTCTACAAGTCGTATCCAAGGTAAGCTCCATCTAAGGACAATGTGGTTATCCATCAAGTGATACATCGCGTCTTTGAGATTCTTGACACGCTCGGGCATGTTCTCGAAGGTGACATCCATTGGCCAGCCCAGCTGCTCTGGGATTTCAGCCACCATTGCTCGCAACTCATTGTGCACTTTCTGCTGTAACCTGTCCTTCTGATCAGCATCGATGTTCTGTCCTTGGCCTAGTTTGTCGAGCGCTGCCTGCAGATTGGGTGTTCGCGTTTCTTTCTCTGGGATAGCCAGGCAGCCATCCCATGGGCACATTTCCTTGTCGATGTGCTGCATTGACAAGGTCATTAGAGTTGAATCAAATTAGAGAAGAGCAATTACCTGTTTCTTGGAAGCTTGGCTATCATTTGTCGTGTCGGCGTCATCATTTTGTCGCTGGGAAATGCAAGATTAGTGTCTGGCGTGTATGAGAATGTCCACATACCTTCTTGTTGGTGTTTAACGTCACCTATTGTATCACAGAGAGGTCAGATAACCCAAAGATGAGAACGGGAGTGAATACCTGGTCGCCCTTGTCAACTGCTGGCCTACTTCGAGTATTCCTCTGGGGCCTTGGCACGCCATTGGTCAATTTCTTCTCCTTGGGCTGGACAGCTTTCTTCTGCTTGGGTTTGTCATCTTTCGCCTTCACACCTGTTGCCCTGGGTCGTCCTGGTCTGCATTTAGTGGTGGCAGCTGCCTTGCTGTTTATAGCCTCGGCAGGAGTTTCCGGTGCTACAGTAACAGCTTCAGCCGCTGAAGTGTTGTCTGTCGTCTGCTTGCCCCTCGACTGTGGGTTTGGTGGTTTGGTGGGGGCAGCAGTCTCACCCTCTGACAATACAGCGTCATCATCTGTAACAAGAGAACCTCGTCTGCGCTTACCCGTGGCGGCGGAGATAAGCGACTCTGCAGGGACCAGGCTAGAGGAGGTGGCGGCAGGTGTGGTCGTTGAAACAATGGGCTGAATGGTTGTGTTGTTGGGTTTGGCAGCCACGATGGGTTCTATGGGGATCGCAGGCTGTACGGTCATGGTGGTGCTGGCTGGCTGCAGGTTAGCTGTGGAAGACTTGCCATTGGTCGACATGGGGTTTGCGTTTGTGGATCCAGCCTGGGGTGCTGTAGCTGGCTGGGTGTTAGTTGTAGAAGACTCTCCATTGGTCAACGCAGGGTTTGCATCAGTGGGTCCAGCCTTCTTGTAGCCTGGAGCAGGGCCACACTTGTGCCTGCGTCTCAGGGGCTCCTCGGCTGGTGGCGCTGTGGTGTTCGATGGCGCACCGCTGTCGTCAACATTTGCCTTGATTGCCATCAGAGGTCATGAAAAAAGGAGAATGCGAACAAGAAAGGTAACCTCCTCATTTTCATCTAAATCAACTTCGACATCCTCCAGTGCCTATACGCTGTTCAATTACCAAAAAAAATTGATAATATGAAAAGGACATACCATGTCGTCATCACTGTCCTTCTTGGCAAGACTCTTGATGTGCTTGCACGTGCGCTCACAATGAGCAATGGTTTTGGGCAGCAATTTCTGGTCCTTTCGCCACTGCTTTGAGCTGCCCTTGAGAACCACTGTTGTCATCGACAAGATGATCCATGCGCCCTCGTATTGATGAAAAATAGGGTATTTTTTCACCAACTAAGCGCATACACTCAGTCAACCTACCCTGGGATATGCAGTACTCACGGCTTTTTTCATGGCCTGAAACTGTGACGTCTTTTGCTGAGCGAAAGGTTTCTGGATGTCGAGTAACAATCTCGCATAGGCTCGTACGACACCCTATTCCACAGATGAGACAACTGTATGCGCATATATTTCGACTTTACCCTACCTGTGTTGCGTTGTACCCGAGCCCTCCAACCCCAAACATTCCAGGATCGAGTAGCCAATGTCATCTGCTCTTCCAGGGCGACCAGGCGGTCACAGGAGGTGATTTGCCACGTCGTCTTTCTTAGCTGCGAGCCGTTCCTCTGAGCAAATGCATAAGCTAGTGGTCATGGGCAGCTCACCTTTGTCCCTTTTCAACTCGGCATTTTCTCTCTCAATTGTAGTGAACCGATCATATTCTTCTTGGGTTATCTGAGGCATCTTCCTATGTCGTTGTTCACGGTCCGGGCGATCAAGCGAGATCGGGGTTTGATAAGTCAGGGGCACACAATCAGGGTCGTGGTGGTAAGAGATGAAAGAGGAAAGTAGGGTGTAGGGTTCTTTTGGAACACATTGGGTCATGTGCTGTTACATAAGACACACGTGACATAGTGAAGCACAAAAATCGTTAAGTCCGTCCTACCGTCCATACACGCAGGCCAAATGTGTAGTAAAAACAATAGGATCCTTTTCACCTTTGCCAGGACGTGTGCCAGCTGCCCGGATTGTACATGATTCCTCATCTATTGAACGAACTTTGAATATTTTCCCTGCCATGGGGCCCACAGTGACTGTAACAAAGTCGCCTGTCATATCGGGAACCACAGGTTGCAGGTTGGCAATGTCGATGGTACGTTCTCCTCGGAGTTGCAGGTCCTTGACACGGACTTGATCACCAGACACAGAAACAAATTCGAGCGCCTTCCAGTTAACAGTGTTCTTCTCTAGGAGCTTTGCACGAACACGTTTGAAACAAGGGTCTTTTAGCCAAGACATATCACAGTCTTCCATAGGAATAGAGGCAGCAGACACCATGGAAGGTGGACCTAGAGATGAAAGGGCCAGAGTACAAGAGGACGGATCCCAAGCAGGAGTCTTCAATGGTATGTATTCAGAAGCGGTGGGCATCGGCGTTTTCGAGGTGCTTGCTCCGGTCGGTGTACTCGGGTTTTCAGCCTGGAAGGAAGACTTGGTGATAGATACACCACCAGGAGGATTTTTCAACCCAATAATCTCATCAGTAACCTTGTCGTTTTCCCTAGAGTGATTCATTAGTAAATCTCATGAACCAACTTGAATAATCCTACAAATGAGCCAAGTTCTCTAACGGGATCAGGAGGTGCTGGTGCATAGTATCAATTTCTATGATAGCCATGTGGTGTATTGTCGTCTCTTTGATAAGTCCTTTGATCCCTTTCAAAGGATGCTTGCATACTACCATGACTCGCTTGCCTTTATGGACTTCGTTGTAATCTTTTTGACCAGGGAAATTATGTGGTTGGCATCTAGAAACGCATAGCACGGTCGAGTGAGGAGCGCTATAGAAAGTGACTTCTTGTACAATGACATTGATCTAAAACATGTCAGGAACAGAGAAGACAGACGAAACGAAACTTGCCTCTTGTTCTGGAGCAATATGCATGACAAGTCTATCATCATACGCAAACGTCACCCACCCTTTGGAGCCCTTGTGGTCGCCATGGGTGACAGCGACATGATCTCCAACCTTGAAATGAGGGCAGACCTCTACAATGCTGAAGGGGGCAACGATGTCCTGGGACGGAAGACGCAACAAAACCTCCTCGGTACCAACCTCAACAACCTCTCCCAATACACCAGCAAATTCGCCTCTGATGACCTTGACCCGATCGTGAAGCTGAAGACGTTTCTGCGCCACTCGACTGAGGGTTTTTGAACACACTGTCTCCTCAAGCAGTGAAGAACCACAAAATAACGCAAACTCATGGTGACAAGGGAGGACTTTGGAAGAGATTACAAGGTCGATTTCATTGGTCGGTACTAACAGAATTCCATCTTGGGTATAGGTGTGCTCTTGAAATATATATTGCATCTGTGTCTCCAAGGCTTTGACTTTATGAATTCTGAAAGTTTTGACCATGTTGTCCTGCAGCACGAGTGCTTGTGGTGGATGGGGTTCTTTTCTGATCTGAGGAATCAACCCAACCAAAAAGCTGTCCAGTCTTTTGATGAGCAGGCCGGTATCCCCTAGATACTTCTTCCATTTGGCCCATTTATCATGGACCCAAACCCATTTCTGATCTTCGAGCCCGTAGGGGCTACTCCGAGTGAGCATGTCAGTTCGCTCATCCAACGAGACAGGGCGGATATTGTTCGTGTTGAGCTCTGGAATTCGGCGGGCGAGCGCATGGGCTTGAGTCATATCATCAACCTCGGCATAGATGCAGCCAGGAATCGTGCTTCGCGCAACAATTGAACAAGCCAAAGTTTGAGGAAAGGTTGGGTGTGTCGCCAGAGAAAGAACCTTGAATGCAACACTTTCCTCGTGGCCAACCTAGGTATCATTAGAGAAGAAATGAAAAGATTCAGGACATATTTGACGCACTAGACACCCAATCTCGAAGATCATATCATTCTCTCGTAGTCTCAAGTCCTCCTGATTGTTCAATGGCTCCATCACCAATGAACTTCGCCCTCGTTGCCTCGCTCATGCTAGGATGTCTTCCCAGAAGTCTTCACCGGCGTTGTCGATGGTTTGCATGAGTTGAGAATGTCGCATAACTGCCTCATACAACTCAACATCATCGTAGATTTGCTCTATAGAGAATCCATTTATGAGAATGACGTCCTGAACATAGTTTGGAGCCAACTTACCCTCGAGCTCGTGTTCACCCTCGTCTTCAAGTTCTTCTTGCTCTTCCTCTTCTTCGTCAGTAACGCCTGCCTCAATGTCTAGAAACATGCTCTGTATGAAATTGACGAGGAGGTCAATATCTCTTATTTTTTAATTCAAATATTGTTCACTGGATTCATACGTCTCTTTTTGTGCAGGGGGACACCCCTCTCACTCGGTATCTGGCAGGACATCTTGTATGAGGTGTGTTTTTTGTCTATTCTACGGTATGGCTACTTAGTATGTACGTGTACGGTGGTGGTGGTTGGGAAAGAGAAGTCGAACCTTGCGAACACCAATTGTGCCACGCCAGTTTAGAGTAGGCCATTCGATGTCCACATGCATTGCCTTCCTAAACAAACAAGGCCTTGCCAAACATCCCAGATAGGTCACCGCTGACTTGCCTGTGAACGCCAAATGACCTACCCTAAACACGACACACCCAACATGTCACAGTTCAATGTAACACCTCTTGCTTCTGCTCACCCACTTCCCCTCCCCTTAGGATGCTCAGGATGCTTCAGACTCTAGACACCTTTAGACAAGTAGATAACTAATAGATAGACATTAATTACTCTAGTATACATACAATTAAACAAAGAGAATGTTGGACAGATAGAAGAATACGAGCAAAGAGACCTGACAGAGCGCAGACAGTGAGTATATGTGCCCAGTCGAACACCTAGAATTAAAAAAAATATGAAACTGACTGCTATTGCTCAGTGGCAAGCTCCCAGAGATCTGCAACGCCTTCTATTTGTGCAACGTCACCAATTATCAGAGGATTTCCTTGGTACACGAGCACGGTGATGGACTTGGAGAAACGAGAGGTGCAGGAGGAGCCATTCGAGGTGCGTAGCCGCAATCTCAAGTTATCCTCAATCTGACAGTCTCTTGCAGAACCTTCTGAATCGCCTCACAGCTCTCGAGGACAACTTATCTGATGAGCCTGCTGGAAGCAGTGCCAGCGCCCACGACATTGTGAATATGCGAAATGATCTCGAGGTGTTCAGTATTGCAGATGCCCTCCAGTACACTCCAAGCTCTGTCGCTAGGATCCTTTCCCTCCTTGGCGTCTATCGTTTACTCGATGTTCATGCCCTTGTCAATGGAGTCAAGCCAATATCGACAGGTGTACCGCTCTGCATAATGCTGCAAGAAGGAAGTGGCATTGCAAAGGTGGTTTCGGTCCACATTCTGAACCAACAGTAGCTTATCTGATTTTTTTAAGATTTGGGCCAAGATGAGTGACTGGACAGAGGTTCTCTCTCAAGCGCAAAGTACCATCAAAAAGTTCATCAAACTCGATGCAAAGCTAACCTCGAATGAAACCGACCTACATTGTCGACACCTCGAGGTCTTGTATCGAGTTGGGCAAACGTGTGTGGTGGCAAGGTTGCTGCTGACGATCCAGCTGGCTATAACGCACCTTTCTTACATCGTCAATGCGATTCCGAGTGAGAAATATCAACATTTGGCCAACAGGATTCCTGATTTCCCAAACACCATCTCGGGGCTCAAGCAAATGATTAGAAATTCAACCACTCATGCAGAGCATCTGACTTTTCTACAAAATTTGGCCACAAAGTACAGCCTATTGGGCCTCAAATTGCCTCTCAAGCTGGCTCTCTTCGTTTCCCCCATTTGCTTATTTTAAGCATTCTTCTTCACAATAAATGTTGTGAGCCAGCAGAACTGTTGGCTGTAGGTCCCATCTGTGAAAGATATCGATCACGAGCTGATACCTCTCGACAGCTTTTTGAAAAAATTGGGATGAAGCCGGGCCTCCTTTTCGATGTCGAATTGAAAATCTGGTGCTTCCTGTTCACTGTGCTCTTCGGCCAGGTTCAACTACTAGACGGTCTCATCACGTTGCTCGATAGCCTGCCGTGGGCCCTGATGAAGAGGGCCAACAAATCTGTCAAGCATTGGTTTGAGCCAGGTATGTCTCTATTCTTTTTATTACTACGGATGTCTGACATTTATGTACGTAGGAGACATGACGAAACTGAAGGAGAAGATAACTGGGTCACAACAGACAGACGATCGTTCGTTGCACGTTAGTGAAGTTCATGTCCAGGAAGGCCTGCGCGCACCAAGTCTCAAAGACGAGAGCAAAATGGCGACCCCCGCCCCAGACAGTGATACAGAAGGGAGTATCTTTGTGGTCTCCTCACACAAGCGCAAGCGTTACACGTTCGACAAGGTTTCGAATGAAGAAGAGGACAACGACTTGCTGACGGAGCGAGGAGGCAACGAGAATGATGAGGAAGAGCCGCAACAGCAGGACGAGGATATGGAAAAACCAGTCGTACATTTACAATCACCGGAGCCTGAGAAGAAGAAGAAAAATGATGACAAGAAGAAAAACGACAAGACCAAGAACAACAAAAAAAAGAACGACAAGAAGAATGGCAAGAACAAAATCAAGAGCAGAGAGTTTGTTGATGAAGAAAATCAGGTCGATGAAGACGCTGAGGCCCACAGTGACAACACCTTGTTAAGCTATTGGAGAGATATGAGTGTGCATCACATTCCACTAGATTTGCTGGTACCCAACCTTGATACATCTTCCCTGGCGCCACCAGTATGCAATTTTTATTTCTTTTCTGACCTCTTGTCTTATGATTCCCTCAGCTGCTTTTATCCGAGTGTTTCACTTTACATACTGCATTAGGAGAACCATGCCACTTCCAAGTGAAAGCCCATGTAAGTTTTCCGTGATCCGAACCTTAGTCTTGGTCTGACAATATAGTAGGACGCGAACCAATTGAAGATGATCTGTTCTTTCATCAAGGCGGTTTGACAATCTTATGTGGGTGATAACCTGCTGCACATCGCTAAGCCCTGCGATTCTGCATTCCGGATCGAGTTGAGAGACATGTTCAAAAAGTCGCCAAACGAGATGTGCAACTACCTCCGTTTTCAGCACGTAGTTATCCCAGAGTGCTATCCACCACAATTTTCATTTGGAAAAAAAGCCTGCAATGACATTTGCGATCTAGACACACCTATTTCTGTACATGGTAAAGGATCTCATACAACTGTACAATCTTACTTCTACTTACACACCTGTCATTTTCAGACCACTCCGTACCGATGCCAGGTGACCAAGAGGAATATGATCCAAGCATCCATTTGAAAACGACCACTCTGTGAGACATTCTGGATTGCGTCAAAAATCGCGAAACACCTGATAGGATCTTGAACACTCTTGACCTCCCAGCTTATATAAAATTTCCACCCATCCACTACAACGATCTGAAGACAGATCATGCCGCTCTGCTATTGACAAGAGGTTTTGACAAGGACTGGAAAGCGACCGATCCCTTTCCCTTTGGAGAAATTAACTGGAGGTTGTTGGGCACGAAGGGTGCATGGCATCCTTGGCATATCAATGTGGACGGGATGGTGACATATATCATTGTTGATTGTGGGGTCAAGATATGGATCATTGCTTGTCCACTAGGGCGTATCAGTGAGAAACTGTTGGCCGACCCAGACGTATTTCTAGAAAACTTTGACCACAACATGCCATGTACAGACAAATGGCGATTGGAGGCTATAGTTCTCAAGCCCAGAGATTTTCTGTAAGTCGTATTTCCATTTTGAGAGCGCGACTGTATGGTCTGAATGACAATAGATCGATGCACCCTAGCACTCCGCATGCTGTCTACACCACAAAGCACTCGATCTGCCAGGGCGGTCATTTTCTCGTGAGATCCTTGATGGAGGACACTCTTTTAGGGATGGTTCACTGTTTTATCCTCAACACGTACATTACAAATGCTTCTCACCACGCCTCTCGCTTCTTGGTTCACCGCATAGTGAGCCTCTATTGGCAAGGTATTGTAAAGAAAAAGATGATGGGTGAAAAAAGTAAGCATGTTCTCTTGCGTAGTTGGAATTGCTGACAGATACACACAGGCGTGCAGTGGGGTCACATTCCATTGTTCAATTTATTAGCATCTGGTGACAAAGATGACGAAGACGAAGATAGGATTGTGCTCGAAGAAGTAGCTGTCAAAGATGTCGTGATCGCGTGTGTGCTAGCCATGCTACTGAACGTACTGGACTTCCGCACCTACACCTGGCCTGGGCTTGAGGATGACCAGGCACCTTCGGAAAAGCAGAAGAACATGATGATCACCTTCAATGCCAACACGGTTCCTCCTCAAGATTGTGAGGGGTGCATTCTCATGCGAGGCAAAGCTTTAGACATTTTGTTAGAATTAGAAATGATCTATAAGGTCTGCGACCCCGACAACGACGACGTTGAAGTCCCACTCGGAGAGCTCTTTCTCGACTACCTTCATCAAATAGGCCGCGGACTACTTTACTACCGACATCAAGCAGATGAAGCTGGCATAGATGGACCCTCCAACGCTACCTTAGACCTCATCGCATTGCAGCTCGACCGCGTCCATGTCGTTGGCTCAACAACCTACAACAAGTGGATGGATACGAAAAACTTGGAAGACAAACCATGTGGGTTTGAATTTCCCGGTTCCTACAATATCCGACAGCGCAAAGTCAGGGATGCTCAGCAGACACAGTTTTCGTATGAAGGGCGAGAATACATCTCGGAAGCCGATCGACAATGGAGGGCGTTCTTGAAGGGACAGTCAGTAGATGAAGATGACGGTGTAGATGAGAATGGCAGTAACACAGGGTCTCCCCTGAAGAAGAGGAAAACGGGCTAGTAAGTTGCCTTTGTTTTCTGGCAGCAGTTTGATCTAACAAATGAAAGAACTAGATTTGTAGAATATGTGTGCTAGACGGTAGGGGCATCGAATGCGACGTGTACCTGATTTGCACCACAGTCTACGATACACCAATGCTCTCAACTAAACACCCTACCAACGACGCACTTGATATTTCGAAGGTCTGTTAGCAGTGGTGCCAAGTTTGTCTGGTATTTGACCAGGGTTTTTGTAGCATCGGCACCAAGGGTGTTACAGGGAGTGATGAGCGCCAAAAGTTGTGCCCTCCCACAAATGTTTTTGGGCCAAAGTGGCACATCCGGGAACTCGATTTCGAAGATACAATCGAGATGTCCATAATAGATACCCTCAAACTCTCGACCATCTTCATCAAATGGGATTTCATACTATCACAATGACAATGAGTATAGAACACAGCAAAAGTGAAGCAAATTCTCACTTGAACATACAACATGTCTCTCTCATTGTCTGGGTCATTGCTTGCAATCGTGCCACGAAATGAGTCTCCTCCTTCTTTGATTCATAATTTTCCCCAACAACTGACATGAGGAGGCAGATTCTTGCGGACCTTTTGCAGTCATACACCAGGCACAAACGCTGCCTTGCAGTATTCTACCACCTTTTTCATTGTGTCTCCTTCTAGTGGGTGTTTCTGGTTTACTGGTCTGACGAGGACATACTGATCGTCTTGTCGTTGGGAAGATCAAAGTATGTTTCAATAGATTCAATATAGGCCTTGTGAAGGACCCGATTGTTGAGGTTCGCCCATGGGCACTTTTTAGACTTCAGCCTGAGCTGTAGGTAACCACAATAGCACTCCATCCAGAATGTCCAGGTTGCCCAAACTGGACTGCAAAACCAAATGTTATCAGGAAGATGAAGGAGTCTGTGTATAGTTAACAGGCAGGTGGATAGCCTTTTGATGTCATGCTTGTAATACAATCTGAACAGATTCCATCAATAATTGGAACACCAGAACAGGCGAGAAGCTCACTTTTCATAATCCTGAACCCATTTGATAATTCGTTTCTCGAGGTCATTTATTTCATCGTGAGTTATCGAGAATTTCGTGCAGGCTTTCATGATATCCACAAGGTCGCATGCATGGCTGTGGTACCTGGAATCAAGTCGGCCTTTTAGAAGGTGAGGAGCCATGTACATAAACCAGAATGACCACGCTTCGGCGGTCATCATTGTCGTATCCTCGGCTATGTTCTTGATGGACTGAACAAAACAGGAGGGAATATACTTGATCGAGCCAATAGTCTCTGCGCCAATCTGGGCCCAGATGTGTTTAGGAATGACGTAGGGCTGGTCTTCCTCGCCAGTGAGTGTCTTGAATGAACCACGCCACAAGAAAAATAGATTTTTCACCACATTTTCAAGCAGGAGATGCATGTAGTCCCAGGGCATGCCTCGACCATAATTCAAGGACCCGACACGCGTCAAGGCCGGCATACCTTTAATTCCGGTATCCTGCACGATCTCCTCCCATGCTGTCTTGGTGCATGCCTCTTTTAGAAGTTTATCAGTTTCTGCCCAATCTTGATGAGTTCGCAGTGGTAGTTTTGATGCATCCCAAATGTGATTTGTGGTTGGATGACGCAATGGAACATAGTAGGTTTTATTTGTCAATTTCGGATCATTTACGGCCTTGATTTTACAGGATCTGCATGGGCACTTGGCGTTGTGACCCTTTGTGTTCAAAAACTTTTCAAGCACTATGATGTCTGCATGCAAGAACATATTGTACCTGCGCATTTCAAAGTAGTCTCGGGCGGTGCAGTCGAATGTCTTGACACCGTACGCAAGGTCCACACACTCATCCTCAAAAGGATTCAAAAAGGTATTTAATCGTTTGGGCCCTTTAGGCCTGGGGATAACGCCACAGCAGATGATGCGGTTGATATGAGTCTGCAGCTGAGGTGGCAGGTTGTAGAGTTGGAGAATCAACGGAGTTGCAGACGGCCCTCCTCGGTTGTGCTTGTAGAGCAAGTAGGAATCCAAAGATATGGCGAACGCGATGTCATTCTTGCCAGAAAAATACTTGTGGTTGAGGGTTTTGTTGTCGACGGTCACATATGTGTTGCACAGGTTTTGGTAGTGCAAGGAATCAAAAATGTCCTCAATGGAGGTTGAACTTGGTTTGTAATTATAGCGATACAAGAGCTCTTCAACACGCTTGGGGTTGGCAAACATTCTCTGGAGCCGAGGAATAATAGGCAAGTAGCAGAACTTTCACCGACTTTTTCCTTTGTGTGTTCTCCTTTTCTCCGAACATTCTGGACATTGATCCTCGTCTTTCAGATCTTTTGTGTAGGCAACACAAGAATTGACGCAACAGCCAATCCACAGGGGTTCAACCTGCGATAGGAACACCATCTGATGAATGATCATGTAGAGGGAACTGATCTCCATCTTGTGTGTGAACGCGGAATGCATCTGGTCAAACGCGATGCGAGACATGTTGGATATCATTCTTAGCTTGAATGCGCGCAGATTGTCGACATCTTCTTCAGTTAGGTCTTCGTTTCCTGGATGGAACATTGATTTAAATATGGTCTTGAAACACAACGAAAGCTTATGAGTTTCCCATAGGTCAGCGTATTCTTTGGCACTCATGATATCTTCCAAGACCCTGAGCCTCTCTTCTTGTGCTGAGAGTGAGTCGTATTCCTCCTCCTCTTCCTCCTCATCGAAATATATCCTAAATAATTGGTCAGAATGCAAACTTTCCACCTCTTCATTGAAGTGGGTTTCTTCTTCTATGGAGGACGGTTGATGATCTTTTTCATCTGATAAATTGATAAAAGGTTGTCCTTGTATTGCTGCATCTACTCACCGTCATTGGATTCCTCCACCTCGTTCTCGAGGGGGCTTGTATTCACGATATCAATGTCTTGCTCCTCCTCCTCTTCTACGGATGGCCCTGGGTGAACTGGTCAGTAAAGTGCTTCCTTGTCATATTCACATCCATCACTCACCGTTGTTCAAAACTTCAAACACTTCATTTTTGGTGGAATTATATCTGCTTGTGACATCCACGTCGCATTTTTGCATCAAAAAAGTAAGCCGAGCCACTTCTCTTGCCCTTTGTTTCAATAATTGACCTATTTCATGCCTCGATGAGGTGGTTTCTGCCAGGGACAAACGGCCTTGGAAGCAATCCATTTCTTCAATACCTCTGCCTCCCGTGAGTCGGACATTGTTTCCTCCTGGGAATTGTTGAATGCTTCTATTAAATTTTCCCCTATCGAGCTCTCCCGCTCCTCGCCACCCTCTTGATCTTGATCTTTGCTGTCTTCTTCTTGCACGTCTTTTTCACTTTGGTCCTCCTCGTCATCGTCTTGAGTACCTTCCTGTTCTTTCTTCTGCCCGCACACTCGCGATGCCTGGTCTTCCAGGCGCTGGCTGTCTTGACTGGGCAATTGCGGAGAGTCGATATAGTTTGGCGACTGTCCTCATTGTTCTTTTTGATTATCATGATATCGTGGCTTACCTGGGTTTTCCCCCAAGGTATCGTCGTCCATAAACACGTCATCATCCCACCATTCCTTCTGTGCGTCCTCCGTCCTTCTACTTCGAGTCCAGGCCTGCTGATCTTGAGACAGGTCATCTAGTTCTGACAGTGACCCCACAGATGACTGCCTTTTTGCCCATTCTTCTCTGCTCAAGTCTCTGTCATGTCTCCTTCATTGAGCTCTACCTATGAGTTTAAGGCAGGTTGGCTTGCACAAACAATACTTCTTGTCCTTTTTCTTTGCCTTTTTCTTGGCATTTTTAGGCATCGCAGCAGAAAGGCAAGGTTTTTTTTTTGTTGATGGTATGGGACTCACAACTTGAGGGCAGGCGTCACGCAATCAGTGGCAGTTTCCTTTTTGTAAGGTACGAGAATTATTCGTGCGAAGCTGTCTCCTTCCTGTTCAGTCAATGATGTTACTTGATCTAGCAGGAGTAAATAGCCCTATCCCCTTGGCGAGATGCCTTTGTTTGTCAATAAATTTGACTTTTTGGTGCAGTTTAGCGATGAACAAAGCAGTCATCTGCCCCGTGGAAGCTGTCTTTGCAACACGATCGGTACACCTCAAAACAATGTTTGGAGGCGATGCAAGATCGGTCAACACATGTCTCAAAGTATCTGGCCATTCTGCTGAGGGTGTGACTCATGCATTCCATCAACAGGTCGCCCTGGTTTCAAAGTTGATCAAAAAGTATTTGAGCCACACAAATTACAAGGCTGTATGTACAATTTCTCTTGCACGGGCCGCCACTCATTCTGCACTTTTTTCACTTTCATTTGTTTTCTGAGCAGGGATATATTGTTTTGTATAGATGGTTAAAAGCGGATTTGAGGTCAGGGGAATGATCAATGCAACATATTTAGGGAGGAGAGAAAGGAGTGCGATCGTCAGATCGCCATCGCAAGAATGAAACGACATGGACAAAACACCCACCGTTTGCTGGCAAATTGGCGTTGACGGCAATGAACGCGCCGTCGATCTCAACATTGCGTGCATCTGGGAAGATGAGATGAGGAGAGGATGGGAATTGCTGGATGTACGAGGCATGATGGAGAGAGTCTCCACTGAACTCGTGTTGACTTCGAGCTGCAGATTTTTGAAGGTGGTGTTTTCGGGATCTGATAATTGACCATAGAAGCGTTCATGGGGAGTAAAATCCACGAGCGGGGAAGGCATGGCACTCACTTGGGAAAACAACCACACGAGCACTCTCACCCCCATCCCGAATTCCAGCGCCTATGAAGTCCGTCTGGACTCCTGCGTCCCAATGCGTAGTCTTGTCAGTTTGGATGTCGGTGTCGACACGTGTTGGGGAGGTGGTCTTCGCAACCACGTTGTTGGTGCTGGAGATCTGCATTTGCCCACTCTCGATGGGCGAAAGATGGGCAGCGGCTTGGCTTGTAGTGTGGTCATTTTGGTCGTCGGCATCAACACATGTTGGGGTGATGGCCTTGTTGGAGATCTGGGCTTGATCACTTTCGAGTGGGCGAAAGACGGGCGGCAGCTTTTGCCATGCTTGGGATGTGATCTGCGTTGTTCATTTGGCTGTGCACGAGGGCGGGAGTTTGTATTTTCAACATGAAATCGGCGCACGCGGTCAATTGGCGGTGTTGCAGGAAGCAAGCATTCCATGACAATGTGACTCTGTCACACTGTCAGTCAAATTAATTCCCAGAAGGCGGTTATTTCGCTATTTTTAGACACAGTTAATTTAGCATTGCCTAAAAAGGTGAAAGAAACCACCATTCTAGGGCAGTTTTGGCCGCTGCGATTTTATAAACCACCAGCGCTTCCCACAGTGCCTCACTTTCTCACTTACTTTCCCACACTTTTGACAGTTCACTTTCCTTTCACTTTGCACTTTCGGCAAACAGGTCACCCCCCTCGCCTAGACATTATTTATCCTTTTGAATGACTAACATTCAGTGTTATTATCAGGGAACTTTTACAAGGCCACAGCGGGATTTGGAAGAAGGGATATCTTGTGCTTTGTTTATTTCAGGTGTGTGCGCAGACTTAAAGTTAATTGCAATAGAGGCACACTCTCCATTTCACATCCAGGGTGGGCACACTTAAGTCTTGAATTTGTACATGCCGTTCGGCTATCCCATGCGTGCATACCAATCCAGCGGCTGCGTACTCTCATCACCTCTTGAGACAGAAAATACAAGCTGATATGTTGGTGTGCATGCCGCCGCTAGCGCCTCTGTTTCGTCTCTTCGTTGTGCATTTTCCCTTTGGTTTACTGGGATAATCCAATCCCATTTTTGTCCTGTTTTACTTGTTCTTTTTGAGCACTCTACAGACATGGGGGGCCTAGCTTCTGTATATAAACTGTGGACTCAGACTCGTGTCGTCTCCCCTCACCCATTTTCTTCCCAAACAACTGAGGTGAGTTACATACCTTACTTCATATCACTCATGTGCTTATGTCATCACCTAGCTTCTCATGCAAAGCAGGTAACTAATTCATCCCTAATACAAGTTTGCTTCCCAAATGATTGAGCTCCTTGTGCTAGGATTCTTACACCTGGTCACTTTGCCCAAGGAAAAAGGCACTTGCCTGATAAGTGACTTCAAAGTGAACGGCAAGTTCCCGGGAGAAGTTCACTTTCCCTGCCAAAAGTGAGCAAAAGTTACTTTTGTAAGGAAAAGTGAGCTTCAAAAAGTCACTTTGTTAACCACCTGTTGACTGGCCTTCTGAGGAAAGCAAGTTCGGATGCAGAGCTAGTTGACACCCTGCGGTCGACCCAGATCCAGTAAGTCGCCGGTTAAATGAGTTGACATTTGCATGGCACTGTATTTTAATTTTGTGATTGCAAGGCATTACCGCTGGGACAAAGCACATTCTAATACACGAGATAAGGTCCTGGTAGAAAAATCGATTGAGTGTTATCTTCAGGTAACACGAATCAATTTTTTGTTTTGTTCTCAGAAATCTGATCCAATAATTCCCTCTGAACTGTTTTTGCCTCATCTCATATTCAGGGAACACCAACTCCTCTCACTTTGAGGTCTATGCGCTTTTGGGAGAGGTTTATGGATCGGGATGTCCACTTGGATATCTTCTCATTCAACACGATAAGGATGTCAAGGAAGGGGTACAGCAAGAAGATATTGAAGAACTACTCGATCACTTCAAGAAGAAATGGAAAATTAGGCCCCTCTTTACGATCACAGACAAGAATATTGCGGAGATTAAGGCATTCCTGCGCAAGTTCCCCGATGCCAAACACCAGCTATGCTTCTGGCATTGTCTTCACGCCATCAAAACTCGACTCTCGACCCTCCACTGCCGCCCAAAATTCTATGATGTCAAAGAAGCGAGAAAGGAGTTCCCGTTCATTGATAAGTCGTTTGTACCCCTCGCACAGGCTGAGAAGATCCCTGGACTGCCGGTACAGTGGAACAAGTTTGATATTTGAACCAATCGGCTAATATCCTCAATTTCAGAATCCAACTCAGCAGATAGCCTCAAAGCAGATCCCTTGAGTGTCCATTCGCATGGGCAGTGTCCTCATGAACACAGCACCTATTCCGGCTCCCCCTGCTACCGCTCCTTCTGCTCCTGTACCTGAGGCATCTTCAGGCACTCGTCGAGTTCTCTTTTGCTTTGATGGAGCCGACATCCAAAGTGTTGACATTCCAAGTAACATATTCGATCAAGTTGATGCAATCAATGACTGCAAGCAGGATCGTGAAGATGCTTATGATTACGAATTCGAGGAAGGAGAGACGACGTCTCCTGACTGAGCTTATGTGTTCTGCTCTGCCGAGCATCGCAAGCAGCTCCTACACCTGTTTACCCAACACTTCTGTCAACATCCTGCATTTCCTGAGCATACTGAAGGGACATGGAACGCCTCTACGATCTGAAATAATGCCGTCTTTGCTATGTACACCTTCTGCTATCAGCATGGTCTCACCGAGGTTTGGGGATATTTCTGGGCATGTTGGTACTGCCTGGATATGTGGAAGCTTTGGGCACATTCGACATCTCAGTATATCTCACAACTTCAAACAACAATGTCTGTTGAGAATTTCTGGAGGCAGCTCAAGCACAACTTTATTCCAACCACGACTCGTCCTCGCCTTGACCACCTCGTCTGGATTTTGATCTATTGAGTTACCCCAGCATACATCGCCCGAATGGACACTCTTAACAACAACTACCGACTCAGATGATCGCGACCACTGTCAACCTATCAGGAATACTTCAAGCGAGAGTGGAAGAAGCTTGCCAATCGCCGGATCAATGATTTGAGGCAGCAACCGTACACCATCAACGTTGCAAAGTGGCTTTGCAACTGTGGCCAGCAAAAATATCATTGCCACCATCTTTGCAAGCATCTTGTGCAAGCTGTAGAGACTCCTAGCCCTCGGTTCTGGCAGGAGATCTACTGCCATCGAGTTGTCCCCATCTATCGCCATCCAGCGCTTGTCAAAAAGGGGGATCAACCCGGCGCTTACGATGACCCTGATGGTTCGATCACTGATGGGGATGATCATGAATGGAATGGGGATCGTACCGTTCTCGAAGATGGGTTGTGACGCACCTTACAGCCCACGCAAGGAGGTAAAGGTAAACACCGTCTTGACAGCAATGATCATGTGGTTCGGCCTTGGCCTCCAAAAAGGACGCACACTGTCAACACGCCATCGGAGCCCACAGAGATCATTGATCTGACTGTCAGTTCGCTGATTCCAATCCCTCACTCTCCACACGATTCTCTTTTCTCTTCTCCGAATTCACTGCCACTTTTCCCATCATCACTGACTCCAATCAATGTTGATCACATCTCTGGTGACGAAGGGAGTGATTTTGAAGAAGAGGTATGATATTTCGACTCATTGACACGCCAATTTAGAAATAACACCTCTGTACAGATGGACGAGTGCACGGAGACCTTGAGGAAATGGGCTAATGCCTGTGAAGCTGCTTCTGCCATATTCCGCTTGCAGGCAGAGAGGTCTGACAACCAAATCTGGAAGCGGGGTGTTGTCGGAGAGAAGGTTGGTGAGCGAATTACTCAATTTGTGTCAGACGTCAAGAGGTTCGAGAACGGAAAGAGTGATACCACCTGGGCACTAGGTCGACCTATTGCTGAGAAGCGAAGGAATAAGCACACAATGGGTTATCAACCCTCATAGTACATGTTGTAGAATTGTTATATCTCATATTGTAGTTTAAATTACAGGGTAAGGACATTGGAATACTCATAGGGGCTTTACGACTTATGCTCGAGACGAGCGCCGAAGGTAATTCTTATCATGGGGCTCACTGTGGGAACCAATTTTTTACAAAAACTATGCTAATACATCCAAAAACATATAATCTAGAGATACAAACCGAGAAAATATGCTGGGCGAGCAACGGGAATGCTCGCTGATGATGACGACAATGATGAGCTCAAAGATTCATCAAAGTCCGAATTTGGCTGATGGGAACATTACTGTCAATGTCCCATCACCTGCCCTCAGCTAGGCTCGCTTAGCAGACATTGGGTCCAGAGGCGAGCAAACTGCCGGTTCAATTGCATTTACTGTTCTTGACTAACGATTGCGGGCATTTGTGTTTGAGAATTATCGGACTTTGTGCTTGTTCAGTCGACACCCGAACCCGTCAGGCGTCAGTACTTCAGTACCACGCCCAGCAGGCTTGAGTGCTGGACAGTTGTATGACTCAGGAGCATAGTGACGATGACCAACGTCTGTGTAGGTTAGTGTTGAGCAATGGGAATGAAATTGGCTGCCTACATGTTGCGATTCTGAATGACGCATTACATAATGCATTATGGGTCACATGCTGCTATGTTCAAATCCTGCCTGCCAAACTCAAAGAGTCAATCTGTCTTTCTTGGATGCCACCACTATGCCCCAAATCACCTATCTTTTGGTTCAGGAACAAACATCAACAGCTTACAGGATCCATGGCTTGGGAATCAGCAAAGACATCCCCAACACTAGCAAAATTCAGGCGCTCCTCGATGACGCCGCGGAGGCCGCCTGTGCTCGTATGGGCTTGGATTTGGCTCAAGGAGTTACACTCATCGTGTACAAGGCATGTAAATCTGCATTTCCAATGGCTTCCCCTCCTCACCATTATTCAGTTACTCAACCCTGTAGCTGATTTTCGTGGCCGGTTGCTCAGCGATATTAAGAGGGAGCTCGGGGAGATAAACGAGGATTTTCTCGATAACAAGGCTGCCGAATGCCCTCACCGTGGCGAGTTATCGCTCCTCGAGGCAGATGACAATCAGGGGAAAGTTCTCGTTGTGTTCAGTGCGTCTTTGCCTTGATCGACGAATTTATGCTCGAGTCTTACTTTCCAGAGATGCGAGTTAAACCTGTGCACCGTCTGTCGGAAGAAGACACTTTTCCTGTCTCAAGCGCACAAAGCTTGCTACGACCGCTCCATCAACCATAGCAAATCCATCAACATATGAAAGTATGCAAAGAAAGAGCAACGAGAAGATTCTCGATGACCGCCCTGAGCCTGATGACGAAATTCCTCCTATTCCACTTCTGTGCGATGGTTTTGGCCATTTCTTGGATATCCTGGATGGCAATGCAGACATTCTGGGTCTAGATAAAGTGGACAGTTCAAAATTATGGCTGGAGGTCGACGAGTTTGCGCGCAATATGTGTTACTTCTACGCCATGGAGGATGACCGGAGGGACAAAGCTCTACCTGCCCTTGACAAAAATTTCACAGCCCGTAGTGGTGTCAAGATCCCTACGATTCACGCAGCTTCCATTGGTTCTGTGAGGTCGGATGGGCATAGTGTCGGAAAGCACGGAGGAGTGGTACTGACCACCAAATTCAAAAACCGGGTTGCAAGGATTACTGCAATTCCTGAAGTAGAGCTCGTGGGGTACGTTGCACGGTCGCACGTGAAGGGAGTGGAGGAGATGCAAGAACTGTTTGAACGATGGCGGGTACCCTGTCTTGGTCTGACTGTTGTTGGTGAGTGTGCATGTCTGATATTTTCGTGTTGAGCCAACCCATGTCCAGGTTCCAATGTTAAGTTTTATGCCATTATCGTGCTTGACTCCCACTATTGGCTTGTTAGTCTCACACCAGCCCTATCGTGCATTTGATCCGCCTCGGATGGCCGCGATCATATGGCCCTTTACGCTGCCTTCACCGCGCATCTGTCTTGCAAGCTTGCATTGTACAGGATATTGACAGATACCTCGCTGCGCTGCCTCCCAAGATCCCAGACGGTGCTCACCGTTGCCCTGCAATCTCCAAATTGCGGAGATACGGCAGCTTGTCCGATGACTACCTCACATTCAGGATCTGAAAACTTCATCCCTGCAAACAGAGCCAGCGCCTGCTCTACATCGCCAAGACGGAAGACCCCGACTACCAAACCGTCCTCATAAAATTTGTGCGAGGGTACTCAGCCGAGTTGCATGCGTTTTGTGCTGACTCCGACCACGCGCCACGCTTCCTTGCTTTTGAAAAGCTTCCGGGTGGGTGGCTGGCAGTTGCGATGGAATACATCTCAAGCGGTGTCACAATAACGACAGCCACCTCGTCCCAGCTCGCCTCATGCAGAGAACACTGGGCATCACAACTGTGGAAGCTTGTTAAATCCTTTCACGATAGCGGCTTCGTCCATGGAGACCTGCACGACCCAAATATCATCTGTGACGACAAGGACAGGGTGCTGCTAATTGACTTTGATTGGAGTGGCAAGGAGGGGCAAGTGTCTTACCTGACTCCCAACCTCAACGAAGAGCTACTTGCAGGACGAACACTAGGCGACCTGAAAATTACGAAAGGTGACAATGAGCGTGTCTTACAGAGGACACTAGATAAGCTTAAAATGTAGTTAATGTAGTTATTTGTTGGCTTTTGTGTACACATTTATTACTCTGATTGAAAAGGGTATGCCTCTTTTCACTCGCCCAAGTGATCCGCCTCGATGATGACTCTTGTATTCGATTCAGTAAGTTTTGAGACAGGAATAACAAATCAATCTTTCACATAAACCCTTTCTTCCTTGAGGGTTGTTTCTTCAGAGGTGTAGTATACGTCATGTCAAACTCTTATACATAGGCTGGTTGAGCATGGCAAAAACATTTGTTTGCCTTGATCAGGCTTGATTTCCCAAGACGGACATCATTGATCCAACCTGGGACAGATAAGCATCATGGTTATTACCCAAAGGACCTAGAAGCAGAGCAAACAAATTACAGTTTAATTACTCCTCATAGTCCATTAACCAGTCATCCACTGAGATGTCATCAAAGCTATGCTCAATCTGCAGTGCCCTTCAGCAATGAGCTCAGCTGTTCCAGAACAGGAATTGACACTGGCATGACATTGCTCACACTCAAGAACTTGTCAGCAATGCACCCACACCACTGATAAGGATGAATTCTCCAAGATGTTGAGAATGACAGTGACATCCCTCAGGGGTTCAGATGTTGGTAGACTGTCTAAGGTCTGGGTCAGGGCCAGCCCTCACCTATTTTGCCAGCCCTGACCCTGGCCCTCAGGGCTGAGGCCAATTTTCTCTGGCCCTGGCCATAAAGGGGTCGGGCCAGGGCTGACCCCAGGCTGGCCCTAAAAAAAGGCTCTATTTTTTAATTTGTTTTCGCAATTAAATAAGAATATTTACTTTATACATACTATACAGAGGGTATTCTACGAGGCGATGGTGAGACAGGTGAGATGAGGGCAATGGCGGTGACAAGATAATGGCGAGACAAGGGCAGGTGTGAGCAGCAAGGCAACAGTGAGACGATGGCTGGGCAAAGTGATGGCAAGACAAGGGCAGGGGCAAGGTGATGGCGAGATGAGGGTGGGGGTGCGAGCAGCAAGGCGACAGCAACACAATGGCAAAGGTGACACAATAATGGGGGTGAGGTGAGGGCGAGTGACAGCAAGCAAGGGTGGGGGTGGGGGCAAGGCAATGGCAATGGCAATGGTGTGAGCAGTGAGGCGACAGCAACACAAGGGCAGGGGGACGAGACAAGGGTGAGCGATGGCGAGTGGGGGGTGCAAGCAGGAAGGCGATGGCAAGGGTGCGAGACAGGGGCAAGTGAGGGCAAGGGCAAGGTGATGGCAACGACAGGGCAAGGTGATGGCAAGGGTGTGAGATGAGGGCAAGCAACAGTGAGTGAGGGTGGGGGCAGGGGCGACAGCAACAGTGACGGTGCAAGCAGTGAGGCAAAGGTGAGGGGATGGGGATGGTGTGAGCAGCTGCCAGTGAGGTGAGGGCAAGGTGATGGCAGAGGCATGATGAGGGTGAGCAACAGTGAGTGAGGGTGGCAAGGGTGCAAGACAAGGGCGAGTGAGGGGGAGGGGGAGGCAAGGCAAAGGTGAGGGGATTGCAGGGGTGAGATGAGTGCAATGGTGCAAGCAGCAAGGCAAAGGAGTTGAGTGATGATGCGGCCTTCTGCAATGGGGCCAAACTGGGTCAGCCCCAGTTTGACCTGAGGTCTGAGGGCCAACCGACCTTGGCCCTGGCCCTCTCTAAAGGGCCAGGTCTGCCAGGCCGCTGGCCCTTGACCCTGGCCCTCAGGTCCAGGCCAGAGGGCCATGGACTGGACTATAGACAGTCTTAGTGTTGCCGCGGCTTCGGCCTGGATCCGACTTAGAGCTGGAGCCGGCACTGGTTATTAGTCGAGCCATGCCTCAGTTCAGCTTAGGAAGCTGCAGCTTTCCAATTGCGGTTAAAGTCACGGCTTCGGTTAGTAGCCGGTGCCAAGTCGACTAACCGATTGCTAGATCACTGGTAGAGCGGTAGCGTGCAAAAAGGGTGGTGTTCTGTATACACTAGATTATTATGGTACATAATTTCATTAGTATGGCAATTATTTAATGTAATACTAATGAAATATAACAAAATACATTATCCATGAGCTAGTTTGCGCACATCATCCTGTAGAGAGGTCATTAGAGAACTATTCAGCTTCTTCTCCTCCTTGGATTCTGAGCCTACACAAAGAAAGTCCATCGTAAGTTCCAGTTGTTTGTCCAAAAGTGTGTCCGCTGTGCTGGGTGACCTCCTCACAACAGCCAAGTTCATGAGCACCTGTCCATCGTGGTGCCTATGGTGGATTTGTTGAACATACTTGCTGCAGTGTTTGCCTTTGACGACAACAAGAAGTCCATTGTCATGTGTCGCATTCAGATGTTTCGGTGAGACCCACTCTGGAGGAAGGCCAGTCAATTTGTTATATACAACATGGCGGATGCTGACCTGTCCGTCGACCTCATCGATGGTGACAGAAAGCTCCTCACTGTAGCTACCACTGTTTACAATAATCTTTAGGGTTGTGCCAACCAGGCATGGGTCCAAAAGCAAATGATGAGGCAATTCTTGTAGCGGCAGGGTGGTACTGCTGGTGGTGGTGATGGGTGACATGGGGGAAGAAATCAGTGTTCGTGATGAAGGATCCCAGGCAGGTGTTGATGAAATGGGTTGCAAAGACGGACTCCAGCCAGGTGTTGCAGGTGCAGGAGTCCGAGTTGGCCCACCAGAGGTTGACACCTGCAACAGTGCAGGCCATGGCTTGTAATCATTCAGCTTGAAGAGCATGCTTGTGGGTTTGGCGTAGTTGAACAGCTGTAGCGCGGTGCTGAAAAGGATGATCAGTGTGATGCACCTCTAAATAAAATTTATACCTACATTGTTTCAATGACATCACCATAGTCGACAATGATGAGTGGGAAAGGCTTTGAGGGATCCAGGTAGGTGAGTTGCATCTCGATTCTCAGCCCGCTATCTGTTGGTTGGCTGCGGAGAACATTTTTGACGACGCCAGAATGTCCCTTGTAAGGATGACCAATTCTGAATATAGTGACAGAGGTGCTGATCCATGGCACTTGGTCTTTGAAAAGTGGGAGGACTTGGCTGGGTGCGCGCGATGCATAGAGGAACGGGGCAGTGGTAACTTTCAGCCAATTCTGATGGACTTCGAATTCCTACAGAAGTAGTTAATAAATGAAGGCGAGATTGAACTGTGCTGCCTGCACATACCTTGAGGGAACTGCTGAGATCGGTGTCTGTGTCGTGGTCATCAACATGCTTCTCTATAACGTGGACGACGTCTTCATCAACCTTGTCGACCCACCCTGTTGTGCCATGGAGTTGTCCGCTTGTAACGGTAATGAATCCCCAATGCGAACATCCTTCTGGATATCACTCCAGGGAAAATTTTCTTTACCGTTTTCTGCTCCGAGATCGACTTCCAAGTTGTTAGTTCCAATGACAGCCACTACGCCGCTTTTGCCTGAAGAACGGATGATAACACGTTCGCCTTGTTCGAAGATCCATTCTCGAGGGCGAGGAAATCTGGATGTGTGAAGGCTGGGGTGGTCGCTGGCTTTGAACAGAAGGAAGAAGTAAGATGGCATGTCAACAGCAGTAGAGGCGAGTGAGTGAAAGTCGTAATGTTTCTGTAGGAGTCTGTGTTCAAAATGAAGTCCACGGAAGGTGTACGATCTGTTGGATTTTTGGATGGGATTGATATCGTAGAGATACTTGATGACGTTGGGTTCAAATAAAGCTGGTTTGGGGGGAACAACAGATTGTTTTCGCTTCAATGAAGGCTCCATAATGGGTGCCGCCAGATGGGGAACCAGGAGCACTTCTACTCCCCAACTTTCTACTTTAACAACGAGGCCAACGTCGCCTCTGTAGATTCCCTTACGGACTCGGACCCACTGGTTCACTTCCACGGAAGTGTCAGGGTTTGTCATTGTCAACATTCGCAGCCAATCCGAGGGTTTGATTCCGTGCTGTACAATGCCCTGTTTGGTGTGAATGATTCTGGGTGTCCGCTCGAGGAGGTGGATGAGATTTGGATTCATGAGGGCCTCCAGGTAGACCCAACCTCGCAGCGACCCACACGTGAACGCAGAACGGATTTGATGCTCTTCCCTCACCTTCAGCAGGAGCAAAAACATGGCTTCCTCCTCGAGACCCAGCTGAGGAAATCATGAGAATACTCCTTGAATTATGAAGGACGACCTTACCCTGCAGCCAACACGCCAAAGCGGATAGTCTTCAGTGCTCAGTAATCTGCCTGCAATGTAGGCAAGGTCATCACTGGATTCGACGTGAGTTGGTGCAGTCGCTGCATAGGACCGTGATTGCGCCATGATTCCAGCCAGGACATCGTCGATTTTGTCTCCATTTTGAAGCTTCTTGAAGCGAGGGATATTCCCTTCAATGCAAAGGATAGACACATCATGTGTTTCCCCCACGTTATCAACATATGTGTAACACACGTAACTGAGAGCTTTACTGATCTAGCTCTTGCTAGCGATGAAGCCGAATTTGCAGCAGCCCTCCCTCCTGCGGATCCACATCAACAAACCTTCGACAAGGCTTGTGCTTGGGATCCTATCGCACTATGCCGTGGCGCTGTTTGTGCGATCTGTGCCTCTGGTAAACGGCGCAAAATGTTCCAGGATATTATTCGCAACAGTAATGAGAAGGAGTGGTTCAAGGCAGCCAATGACCCCAACAAGATCATCAAGCTTGAGAATCTTGAACTTCTTCATGACGTTCGACATCAATGGGACTCTCTCTACAAGATGATCCGCCGATTCCGGGAGATGCGACAAGTAAGTTTCTACTCCCTTTGTTGCAGTATTTTACTGACGCTATGACAGGCTTGCAATTATTTCCTGTTGTTGCCCCCGAACAGGGAGCTAACAAAGTTCTGCATGACTGACCGTGAGTGGAAAGTCCTTGAAAACTTTGAGATGATTTTGAGCATCAGTCTTACTTTCAGGCTCTAACAAAATACTAAATGTATGACCAGATTCCTCATTGAGTTCAGACCCTTATGTGCAGCGAGCGAACGCCCATTCTCGTGAATGCAATTCCTGCATTTGAGATGTTCATGACTGCATGGGAGAGGCTCGGCGAGAAGTTTCCGCACTTGGAGCCATATGCAAAGGTTGGCATTGAATGGGTGGTCAAATATTACAATAAAATGGACTTGACAAAGGCATACATGATTGCAATGGGTACATAGAATGCTTCGTTATTGTTACCCTAATTAACTTCATCCCATTAACTAGTCCTCAATCCCTCCATCCGTCTATCATGGATTCGAAAAAATTGGGATGAAGAATTCATCGATGAGGCCAACCAAACCATCAAGGACTTGGTGAGCTGCCTGGACCCTTGTAAATAGCTTTCTTATTTTCACCCACAATTCGCAGATGGTGGAATATTGTGCTCATGCCAATCCCGAAATGCCAGCTCGTCGAAGTCCTGTGACAATGCGGCAAGGATTTGGTCTTGACGAGCTGGCTGAACGCTACGGGCTCGATGACCTGATGGATTTCACGGACAACAATGCACGCCACAACCAGAGTATCGACAAGGAGTTCACGGCCTACTTTACAGCACTGCTTTCTGAGAAAGGGACAGACATTCTGAAGTTCTGGGAAGTAAGTATTCCAAATGTATTGATCCAGACTTTCTGCTGATATCATGCTTTTCAGATCCATGAATCAAGTTTCCTGACTCTTTTCGCAATAGTGCTCGACTACCTTCCCATCCAAGCCTCAGCAGTACCTTGTGAGCGTGTTTTTTCATCAAGTGCAGAGACAGATACAAAGCGACAAAATTGAATGCATGCAACCTTAATGGAAGCACTGCAAATGCTCAAGTTCTCGCTGAAGACGAAACAGCTCAACTTCATGGAAGGCTTAGAAACGCCAGAAATAGATATGCTGGTGCCTGCTGATGATGAAACAGACTTATTAGGACAAGTGGCCTCTGAGTGGAACAGTAATATAGACACCCTACTCACAGCTCTTGGTCAATACAACGACAACAATGCATAGTTGGCATTTGTACAGATGGACAATAATATTCTATTTTAATTTCTGTATTAATTTTGATTTTTAAGCTTATATGTCTTGGAATGACTGGCTTAGCCAACTTCAAACCAGCGGGTAAACTGAGCTGAGCTGATTTTATCAGCTCGGCTCAACATTTTTGATCAAAGCCGCGGCTACTGGCAGCTTCGGCAAGTCGACTTGCGACTAGCCGAGTCGCAGCAACACTAGACAGTCTAGATGTTGGCAAATCATGTTGCTGGCAAGCAGTGTTCAGTTGATGAAGGATTTCAGGTTCTGGAAGATGGAGGGCTTGCTCAGGTGGCAGTGGTGGAGGATGCAGATGCAGATGTCAAGGTCATTGGTGTAGGCAAAGGAGATGTGGAGGAGGAAGAGGAAGAAGTGCAGGTAGGCAATGACATGGGTTTGCTGACCCATGGTGGGTCATGGGTATGGGTAAGGGTCTGGAAAGTACTACCCACAACCCATAGTGTACTCATGATACTTCTACACTAACTGGAATGCTGCCATATGGCCACAAGTAATAGAGATGCAAAAAACTGAGGTCCTGTATAGCTATGGCTGTCTATTTGAAGTCTGACAAGTGAGTATCAGAAGCACCTCAAAGCCACTCCCTTTACTACTTCAGGATGACAGATTCTGTCAAAGCAAGCAGCCAATCTGGCCACACACTGAAGGCAACCACCAAATGAAAGGCCCAAGAAGCCACAGCTGCTATCAAATTCATCTTCAAGAAGAAGGTGGATGCAACCAATACATCACTGGATGATGTCCAACAAGCCACTTCCATTAGCCCCTCTTCTACTCCTGCATCTCAGCCTGAAGCCACACCAACAGCACCACCCACAAACAATAAATCACCTGAGGTTATTGAGCTTGATGAGAGCAAGGAGGAGGAAGAGTCCTCTGAGGCTGAACTCAGTAAGTCCATTGTTTGCACTGATGCGCTTGAGCTAAAACCTGTTAATGAGTAGATTGTCTGAAGAACAATTGGATCTCACTGATCTATGCCTTCTTCAAGCCAACACCAGCCATAGGATATGAAAAAGGCCACTGCTATCATGAATTCCACTGTGCTACAAAGGGCTGCTGTAAGGGCATTTGGTGGTATCTCAACAAGACTGATGCCAAGTCTACTAGCAATATGCAAAATCATGTGAAAACCTGCTAGGGTGTTGAGATGGTCAAGGCTGCTGACAGCACAGCCAACCTGGATAAAATGGTCAACTCATTGAAAGATGGTTCAATCACAGCTGCATTCAAATGCAAGGGTAAAGATCATGTAACCTATTCCCATCATCAGCACACTAAAGCTGAGACAAAGTAAGCACAACCTGATATGCCCTCTTTCAGCATGCAGGCAATGGCAGCAAGCCAGCAACAATGGTGAGTCCTTCATGAGAGCCTTCCTGTTGAGGTGGCATGGTATTGAGTATCCTCAGCAATGATGAACAGCACTTACCACTTTTTTCAGCACAGGGCCAGAGGTGTTATCAGGACATCATCCTTGTAGTGAGAAGCGAGGACAGCAGCCTGTTACAATTAGTCAGATGTGAGTAACATTCCTTTGTGCATGGGATGAGGTACTCACTGTTCTTGTTGTTGTCAGGTTGCACTTCTGTTGGGACTTGGTGAGATAAAGGTGATCATGGTCACATGTGATCAGCTGACCAACAACCATGATCAACACTCCTGTTGCAGCTACCAGACCCACCAATCAACCCATACCCATGACATACTCATGAAAACCCACAAGATTCAACCCATGAATGATGAATATGGGTCAACAGTGGATATGGATGTGGGTAGGCATTGGGAAACCCATGGGTTACCCATGCCATTGCCTAACTGTACAGGAAGGTCATGGATGTCACAAGAAAACTGCCTTTCAGCTGTTTGGTGGGAGCACTGCCTGGGAATGAGTTTGTTTATTGATTTTGGCATGTATCTTAACTCTTCTTGTAGCTGGTACTAGCAAATTTTTTGATATTTGAACCTTTTTTTTATCTGTTTTGGGCAGTGTTCAGTAGACTGTCTACAGTCCAGTCTGTGGCCCTCTGGCCTTGGGTTGGCCCTGGCCCAGACCCGAGAGCCAGCAGCCTGGCAGACTGTCCCCTTTAGGGAGGGCCAGGGCCAAGGGTTGATTGGCCCTTGGACCTCGGGTTGAACCCAGGCTGACCTGGTTTGGTCTGATTGCAGAAGGCCGCTGAAGAGCCATGCTCTGTATAAGCCTACAATTTTGCAGCCTCCCATGGTTAGTCAACCACCCACTTAGAGAAATAAGGAGTGTTATTTGCCACAGTCAGAGACTTGGATTGTAGTGGTAACACCTAGTCGCGATAAAAAGTGCTGGCCAGTAATTGTTACAAGTGTTACCTTAGCTTGGGAGCACGATGATCAATGGTGCTTAGTGCGGTATCAGAAAGAGACTAGCCCACCTCACACCAAAAGAGTCACCAAAGCACGGTCTATGGACTTGTCTAAGCGGGGTTCTAAACGCGCTAAGCTAGTACAGTCAGTCAAGGGTGGAGAGCGAGAGCGTTATCGCGATATGAAGGACAGTCAAGCACTACAAAAGTGGAGGTAGTGTTTCATAGTTCCGAGACTACAAATCATACCCACCAGCCTAGAGAACGGCTGGTTAGGTCATGATCATTGCTTTGTGATCGCGACAAGAGTCATCGCATTAACGGCGCTAATTGGCTAAAGCAGTGTGCCAAGTAAGGTCTCAGGAACGAGTCAAGAACACCATGTGTTTTCATGGGATAACTTAACTGTGTTAAGACTGATATCACAGTCCAAGCAAGCCGAGGACACTCAAGAGTAGTGCAACGGCCGAGTTACAGCAAGAGGCCTTCCAGGAATAGCGAGCAGAACCAAAATGGCCATAGTTACTCGTCAGGGATAGTACCCAATTAGTACCCGTGGTGCTGGTCCACGCTGTTACCGTGATAAAACCATCACCTGCTCCACTCCAATTTGTTATGTTGCATATGGTACATTACTTGGCTCAGCTCGTCTATATACCGATACCCCTAACTGTGTTTGTATAAAAGGACTCAAATAGTTTAGATTTAAGCAAGCAATCATTATCCCCCAGAATCTGAATTTCAGTTCGGTGTGAGATTGACTTCGTGTGATTGAGTCCAAGGGAAGTTGAACATAGAGCAATTAGACAAGCAAAGAGTGCTTAAAGTCGAGTTTTCGTGATAAAACTTCTAAGTCGGTCAAAGGACCATAAGCTAAGTGCCCAAGTACTGTAAGTCGGTCTGCGTATGGTAAGTCAGTCAAAGGGATCAGTAAAGTTAAAGTGGGCAATTGAGCCATTAGAAGTCAAGTCAGAAAACGAGTCCGAGGGCATTTCCTAGTTTTAGAAGTCAAGTCATCAGTTCAGAGCATAACCTAAGATCAATCCCACAACCACCCAAAGGTCCCTTACCAAGCATTGCTATTGCATCAGACAACAGTGCTGTTGCATTCGATTGTATACCGTAAATCATCTCCCTCCCTAAACACCATAATACAAATTTTGTTGGTTGGGTAGTTTCCTGGTCAATAAGTTGTGTTCCCTGCAAAGTGGTTGTTCAATCCACTTTGTAGGCACACTCCCGCAGCTACCTCTTCACTGTTGATCAAGAATGCATAGCCTGAGATAGCATGACAATGATCCTGTGAAGCTCCATCTGCATCGGTGTAGCCTTCCAGCCCATCCTTTCCTCCTCTGAAGGTGAGTCCCAAGTCCTTCATACCTGAGAGATAACGGAACACGTGTTTGATGGCTTCCCAGTGGATGTGCCCATGGTTATCGAGGAATTGCGACAAGGTCGAGATGGCAAACGCAATATTGGGTTGAGTTCCAACCTGCAGCATACATGAGCGAACCAATTGCTTCACGGTACGGGATGTTACACATTCAAGCGACTTCGAGTGGGTCTGTAGGGCACTGTGTCTTTGAGAACTGGATGTTTGGGTCCATGGGGATGGAGAGCAGCTTCAAGTCAGTGAAGTTGAATCGGGTGAGGATCGAGACAATGTAGCTCTGCTGCAAGGGGGTAATGGTGCGCTGTTCGTGATCTCGTCTGACCTGAATCCTGAGTAACCAGCTGATAGCTCCCAAATCCATCATCGCATAGCGTGCGTTGATGCATGTCTTGAACTGATTAAGAAGACCTTGTGATGAGCCAGTAATTGTGCAGTCATTGACGTGAATTGCCAGGATGACTATCTCACTGTTGAGTCGAGCAAAGAAGATGCCGTGGTCGTAGTGTGAGTGAGTGAAGCCAAGATCGAGAAGAGCATGTAAGAGGGCTTGATACCAGGTGTGTCCGCCTTGTTTGAGACCATAGAGCGCTTTCTGAAGCTTTGCAACAAAGCATCGCCCATCGCATCCTTCAAACCCTGGAGGAAACTGCATATAAATCTCCTTATCAAGTTCGCCGTTCAAGAATGCGCTATTGAAGTTGAAGACCTCGATTGGCCAGTCGTTCTTCACTGCGATTGTGAGAACAGTTCAAAGACTTGCCATCTTGGCTACTGGAGTGAAGGTTTCCATGTAGTCGACACCGTAGACTTGGGTGAAGCCGTGTGCAACAAGATGTGCCTTGTATTTCTCAATGCGACTGTGTGTGTCCTTCTTGATGTGAAAAACCCACTTGCAGCCAACGATGTTCTTCCCAGCTGGCCTCTCAACAACCTTCCATGTCCCTGCCTTCTGCAATGACTCCAGCTCCTTCTGAATTGCTTCCTCCCACATCGGCCAATCTGCCTGTGCCTGCGCCTCCACCAATGTCCTCGGATCCAATCCTTCGGCATCTGAAGTGGCAGCCCCCATTGCGAACTCCACTCCTCCCAGCTCATAGTCCTCCTCGCCTTCACCCATCGCACTCACATCGCCAGTCTGAAGTCCCTTCGGCAGTTCAGATCCCACAGCGCGGCTGTTATGGTAAGTCTCCTCTGTCATTCCTTTGCCACTCTGGAGTCGAGTGACATAGCTTGATGTTTTGATAGTGCGTTTCAGGCATTCAGGAGCTGCAGGTGGAGAAGTTGATGGATGAGTAGATGGGGCTAGGCTTTCTGCGGTGGTGAGTTCTGTGTTGGCATTGCTATCGACAGGCTGGTTGACACTTTCCTCCTCTAGGTTGGACTTCCCATCATCACTCTCCCCCTCAAACGGCATGTCAATATTTGTGGGCATGGTGATGAACCAGACAGGTGAAAATTTGACGTTGCGCTCAATGGAGACAGTGCGCTTCTCAGGGAGATATATATGGTGTGTGTGGGTGCTGTCCTGGTCAAATCCCACCCATCGCCCTGACTTCGAACACCCATCTAGCTTCCCGTTGTCTGCATCATGCACCCACACCTTGCACCCCCACTCCGGAAGGTTCGACAGGTTGGGTTTGTCACCGGTGAGTGCCTCATAGGGTGTCATAGTGTCTAGGGCTTGCATTGATGTGCGGTTCTTGAGCCAGACAGCATGCATGATGGCGTCGCCCCACAGGAACCTCGGCAGGCCGCTCTGATGTAGCATGGCCCGAACCTTCTCCAACAACTGTTGATTCAGCGCCTCCACGATCCCATTGTGCTCAGGGGTGTTGTGCATCATAAGCTGGCACTCCATGCCCTTGGCCTTCAAGTGTGCGTTGAACTCGTCACTGGTGTACTCACCGCCACAATCGCTTCGAAGTCACTTGATCTTTGCGCTGTGCTGTGTCTCCGCCCATGCCTCAAACTCTCAATAAGTGTCGAAGGCCTCATCTTTGTGTCGGAGGAGGGAGAGGCAGGTGTAGCGGGTGGCATCGTCACTGAAGGATACATAGTATTGCTTCTTGTGGATCATCTTGGTGTGTGCCAGCCCCCACAAGTCAGCACAAGGCTCCTCCTGCTCCTTCCGAACCCTCTTGCGAGTTGCCTTTGCATACTCGCATGACTCGCAGGTGTGCATCCGCCTGTCATCCCCTTCCAACACTACCCCAGTCACTAACCCTTGCTTGACCAGCTTCCAAGCCATGTCATGCAAGATGTGTCCCATGCGACAATGAGGATCCTCCGCTGTTATGGTTGTCATGCTCGCGCTCGAGACGACCTCTCTGTGTTCCACATGGTAGAATCCGTTGGGTGTAATGTGGATGTGGGCAATACGGCAGTCCTTTGGATCAAAGATACGACAAAAGTTGGACCAGAAGAGTGCAGCATAGCCAGCTGCAGCAATGCAGCTGATGGACACAATGGTAAGCCCCATGCTCGGAGCATAAAGGACATTGCGCAGGAGCATAACCATTGTTGTCTTCCCATTAGGAATACAAATCTGCAAGTCGCCCTTTCCGACAGCGTGGAAGACTTGTTTGTCGGCGGCAGTAATTGGTTGAGCATCAATAGGGACATAATTGATGAGCTGGTTGCAGAATGGGGTCATGTGGCATGAGGCTCCTGAGTCATATAGTTCGCACTGGGGTTTCAGGATGTCACTGGCCTCAATGACAGCACCTGCAAAGCTGGTGTAGGGTTCTGCACCAGTGTCGGTGGGTAAGCCTGGAAGAAGATGTCAATTTTCTTATCACACGATGCGACAGTGAGTTTCGCTTTTGCTCGTCGAAGGGCAGGGAAATCTTGGTAGGTCAGTTGATTGAGCAGCCTTTCAGCCTGGTGCTCAGGACTTGGATCTTCAGGGCAACGGCACTCATGGAGCTGCTTGAGTAGCTCTGCTGAAGAGGTAGCTGTGGGAGTGAGACTACAAAGTGCCTGGTGCAATGACTTCATAGATAACACAACTTATTGACTGGAATACTACCCAATCAATAATGTTCATAATTGATGAGGAGGGAGATGATTTACGGTATGCAACTGAATGCAATGGAACTGTTGAATAATGCAATAGCAATGCTATTTGGGGGACTTGCTCAACAAGCTAGTTTGACTAGCTAACGAACTCTAACTCCTGAGAACCCAAAGATGTACAATGGGGAATAGTATTGGGGGTGGTGTGGGTTGTCTTCTTATGAACTGCTTGACTTAACATGACTAGACACTTGAAAAATGCCCTCAGACTTGTTCTCTTGACTTGACTTCTAATGGCTCAATTGCCCTTGACTTAAACTTATCCCTTTGACTGACTTACAGTACACAGACCAGCTTACAGTACTCAGGTGCTTGGTTCAATGGTCCTCTGACCGACTTAGAACCTTATCACAGAAACTCAACTTCAAATACTCTTTGCTAAACTTGTCTTGTTCTCTTAAACTGCCCTGAACTCAACACACAAAGCCAAAATCACACCAAACTGAAAATTCAGATTCTGGGGTAAAAATTGCTTGCTTAAACTAAACTATTTGAGGCTTTTTATACAAATGTGAGTAGGGGTATTCAGTATCTAAAAGTCTGAGCCAAGTAATGTACCATGTGCTAGATATGCAAGTGAAACAAAGCATGTGGTGTTTTATCACGAGAACAGCATGGACCAATGCCACCAGCACTAAATCAGGTATTATCCCCAACAAGTAACTATGACTATTATGGTTCCACCCATCATTCTCAGAAGGCATCGTGTGGCAATGAGACTGCTTCACTACTCTTGGTGAATCTTGGCTTGACTGACCATGATACTAGTCTTACCGCAGTTAAGTTATTCCATGTGTGCACATGGAGCTCCCTGACCCATCCCTGAGACTTCACTTGGTTTGCCATCTCGGCTGATTAGCACCTTAATGTGATATGGCTTATCACAATATAAATGTAATAGTGTTGACCTCAATGGGCCGTTCCTTACTCTGGTAGAATGGTTAAACTCCCTCATATGCTTTGTAGTCCCCGGATTATGACACTTCATTTACTTTTGTAATGTCAGGTCACCCTCATATTGTGTTTAGCACCTCTGCTTCTTTACTCAATTGACTATGCTGGCTTCTCATGCTCAGATGGTCTCATAGACAATCTAATAGACCATGCTTTGGTTTGTGACTCTGTGGTATAGGTTATACTAGTCTTTGGGTAATAGTACATTAAGCACCATTGATCATCATGTCCCTAGTCACAGGTGACACTTATAACAATTACTGGCCTTGTGTTCTTATCACGACTAGGTGTCATTGCACCAATCCAAGTCTTTGACCATTGCAAATAACACTTCATGCTATCTAAGTGGGCAGTACTCTAACCAAGGGAGACCACAAAATTGTTGGCTTGTATGGAGCATGGCTCCTCATCTCCCCCCAACTTAAATCTTGACTGTCCCCAGTCAATCTCAAGGGTGCACAGATCTATCTGCTTTTCTAATTGACACTTCATTTCATTTGAAGCCCCCAATCCCATAAGTCACTCGTGCAAAGCTTGCAATCTACAGAATCGTGAGGTATGATCGTTTGATAGTAGAGTTAGGACTTTGTGTTAGGAGAGGCAATGTGACTGTTATGTCATGTCACACATTGCCTCTCTCTCTCGACCACGCCCTCGCCGCCGCCAGCGGACTCGAGGCTTGCTCAACGTGTGCTGTACACCAGCCGCATTTTATTTTCATGATAAGTCTACATCTTCCAGTCAATGTAATCCTCTTTCCATGCCTTCTATCCCCGTCAACCGTCCATACTGTCAACATCCAACATGGGACCTCAACATAAGTCAGATGGGTTTTTTCTGCACAAAGTGACTGGGATTCGGGGACAAGATAAGTACTACTATGCCACATTATCAGCTTACAACGCCTTTAAACCCTAGTTTCGTTGCGCCCAGCCTGAGAGGCCGCGCCGCGTAAGCCCAGTTCACGGTCGAACATTGTTCCCGCTCTGGCCATCCACCAAACGCCATCATACTTGCATGACAGCCGTTCCTGCAGCACGAGAGAACTGAGAGACATGTCCACATCAACCGTCTTGCTGCTCTGTGACCTACAAGGGACGTGCTGAACTGTCGACGCTCAGCAGGCATCCAACACCGCCAACACACTCCACACACCCCATCCTGCTATGAGACCATGTCGAGAGACTGGTAAGGCTATGCGAGCTCTCCTGCATGTGTCGTTTCATGACCACTATGGACCTTGTATGCCGCACCACTGGCTATGAAACCACATCGAGAGACCGGTAGTGGCTAGTGAGCTCTCCAGGACATGTCGTACATGGCCGTTCTGGACCTCGTGTGCTCCATGACGCATCCTCACATTCAACCTGCCATGAGACCATGTCGAAAGACCAGTAGTGCTACATGAGCTCTCCTTGACGTGTCGATCATGGCCATTCTGGATCTTGTATGCCGTACCCGCTCCGCATCTGCTACGAGACCAAGTCAAAAGACTGGTAGCAAGCCATCTGCGTCATCATGACCGTTTCGGACGTCTGCAATGCATACAGCCCACATGCCACGAGACCATGACCAGTTGCTTCGCACCACCACTACGAACCTGCGTCGACAGACCGCCGGCATCGCACACCCCAAATGTGTCATCCCGACCATCTCGGAACCCCACACCCACAAACGCACACAGCGCACATGCCATGAGACTAGGTACATGACCAGTCGCCTTCGTGGGAGGCACCTCAGTGCCCTTCTGTACGTACACACACTGCCTGATACCTGCCCATGTCGAAAGACTGGTCGCTCACCACTGGGAACCCTACTCTTCGAGCCCTCCGAGGTCCTGATACACCCATCACGGACCTCCTATGTTACATACCACATCCTGGACCCTCTACACAATGTACACGCTGTGATACACACCCCTACGTACTCCATGTCCCATGCAACCTAATACACCTAACACAACCCCGCGACGAGCTGCGTCATGACTACTTAGAACGGGAATCATGCCCCGGGGTCTGTGTGATCCAATGCCCAATGACGAGTCATCGAAAGACCTCTCAGTAGCTGTAAGCTTCCTCAGAACACATTGTCGAACAACGATCATCCTGATCGTTACATTTTATGTGCTGTTCAAAGGCCACCTCCACCTCCATAGGTGTAGATTCATGAGGAACACAATTTCCAATGAGCGACTTTGTTTTGTTTATCATTGATGATCTATCATTCTCCATCAGCCTCGTAGATTATTTCTACGGCCTAGTGCACATACAGCACCCCAAGTGCTAATTACATTTTATACAGGTGGATGCACCACATCCCAGTCTAATTCCGCGACATAGTCGCCTTCGTGTCTTGCAGGGGCGCTTCACATACCCCGGCAGATCCGACCTTGCCGCTACACTACGTCAAAACACAATATAAGTAGATCATTATTCATGTGCTGGATCGATTTTCGACTCGGGCCATACTCACAAATGGGCCTACAGGAGGGTTCCAATCCGAGGATGGATAACACCAGCGCTACCATCCAACAGAACTAGCACCTACACCGTAGTCCGCCACATCAGTATGGATATGACTGATTTGCCGTGGACCCCACATATTCCCAGAAACTCACCTATCTCTCTGACTATGTCGAGCACGCCTGGGATTGCCCACTTGTGTTCCCTCTCAGGGCTCAGTGCCATTCAGCACCCACCAGGGAACATACTTAGAAGTCCAGCGGTGACAGTACTCACACATGCGGCACAGCCTGACTGGCCTTACAATTTACTACGGCCCAACATTCTACATTATGCATGAAAGGGATCTATGAACCTCATCGGTGACAAACCCCATTCCGATCTAGAGCCCGAGAACACACTACTAGTAGCTATTCCGAGCTACACCTTCACGTATTTTCTACCACATGACATCCCCTGACGCGAGTGGCCAAGGACACTCGAACATTCGCTGATCCGGGCTATAACATGTTCTCTCATCACGTTCAACCTGTTACAGAAATACTTACACCACACTCTACTGATGCAACAATTCTTCTTGACCAAAAATTTTCTGTACAACCCTTGCCATCTTTTCTTGGACACTGTGTCTGGCTCTCTACAAAACTCACTAGAATCTTTTCCTTCACATCAACATGACCCCCAATCACCCCGAAAACCATTGCGGGTATATCATTTTGGCCTGTGACACATGGCCCGGTGATATTTAACTTCGAATCAACAACCTACCGGGGTCTAGAAGTCTACCGCGCTAAGGCAATCACACAGGCACCAGTGCCATTTTATAGACACCCATCACATCAACATTCCCACTGCATGATCAGTACGAGCCATGCCTTTCGACGATCAAACCGACAACATTCACAAGCTCACAGCTGGCTACCCACGATGGGACAGTCTCCCGAGCTTCATCGCAGTCATCAATATTCACATTGTGTCCCTTCATTGGGAATAACACTTACTACGGTGCACCTGACACTACTCCATGGCTAATTACTGGCTGGACAATCCTCTGCCACTCCGATGCGATCTCCACAACATCAGGCACACTCATCTCTCGATATTGGGACCTCAGCGGCTCTGTCTCCTATTCTCTCCATGACACATCACTCGAGGACCATCCACAATTTCCCACCAGTGCATCCTTCGACACAGGATAATTTTGTTCAAGTCATATCACTATTCGCAACCTAGGTTGAAGTTTCTGTTTCACATCTCTCAAGATTCTGCTTTCAAATTAGAACTCCCGAGTCTACCTTCATTCAAAAGGTAGCCATTTGACAATGTTAACTTAGAATTTCAGCATCGTTTCCGGCACCAGAACAATCATAGCATCCTGGGCTTGGACCAAACAAGAAAATTATATTTGTGAGTTCTAACTTCCTAACAATTTTTTACCTGCACTGGGCATTCCCCCCTTTACTTTCACTTCCTTCAATCTCCGCTGTCCCCCTTTGGTCCCCCTCCTACTCTTTAGGGTATCCTCGCGAGCTCGATGCATCGTGGGACTCCTACTCGTCGGGTATCGCAGCCCGCTTCGGATTTCTTGCATGAGTCCAGATCCGTGGCTTGGGCAGATCTGAGCGTGGCCCTTTGCTGCGCTCAGTTGCCCGTAAACGCTTCGCTCGCTCTTTGCTTGGATGCTCCGCATCAACCACATGGTTTTCATTTTATTATAACTAACACATTGTAGTATTGTACACTTTGATCTCTGCAGAGATCATCATTGGGATATGTTCCATTGGTGACCAAGAGACAAAGTCTCTTAGCACCCATGCTGACATAAGGTGTGATATTTACAGAGTCATGTGCATCATGGTGCTTATGCACCAAAAGCTCTTTTTCTCTTTGTAAATCTTATTGTGGTAAACGTTAGTGCACAATTTGCTAAATATTGATGCGACAAGGCTATTTTCCATGATCTTGTGATAGCACCTGACCTTGTTGGTCCATGCATGAAAACACGTCAAACAAGCTCTATTTGGACACCAAATAGGTGCCCTTCAAATATTGGCTCGCCTGACCATTAAAGTTATAACTCCAATCGCCTCTTTCTGTGGTTAAAACCTAATCTCCCTCTTTCTTGATCTTGCCCAATCTTATTGTGTCTATCATTGCCATGTCTTTGCCTTTGCCCTCATCTTTTGACACCAACTTCGAAGTTGCCAAGGTGCCCATCCCGTGCAATGTGGCACCTTTCTTTGAACTTCATGGTGCTTGGCCCCATATCCAGCCCGTCATTGACACTTGGCACAATGCTTGCAATTGCCTCGACACCACCTTTGTTGTCATGATGTTTGAGGACTGCTATGATTACTTGATAAGCCTCATAGGATTCCTTTTCATGATTTTATCTGACTCATGCCTTGCCACAATTAGGAGGCTTTCCATACTTGCACTGACAATGCCTATAGCTTCCACCCTGATGCCAATTTGGTCCTCAACTGTTTGATCCCACTACTCGACCTACTGGAGCCCGCAGACTGGAAATCTTATCAATTTTTTGTTCCTGACATAGCAGACAACATCAACTTTGACAAGGTTTGTTCCATTTCTTATCGCAATAGAACTTCTCTGACCGCTTTCTTTTCAGCTAGCTCAAATACTATCCCTGGGACTGCGACACGCTCGAGGTACTGAGTCCTCCTGCCTGTGAGTTCCATTTCACTCTCATATTCTCTTATCGTGCTAACTCTGTTTTGGATACTTTACAAGGTTCTAAGCCCAAGAAGGTCAAAGCCCAAGGTAAAGCAAAGGCTGTGACCCTGCCACCCAAGCCTACCCCTGCTGTTCATAAGTGGCTGAGCCCCCCATCTCTTGTTATCATGCTAACAGCTCTCTCATGTTTTGTAGAGCCTGCTATCATCAGGACAAGTCAGAAGAGGAAGCAGCCCAAGTCATCCTCGGTCGTGCCCAAAGTGCTGCCTGCAAAGAAGAAGGCCAAGACCTCATGTCCTGCTGCCCCTCCTGCCATGAAACCAACTCCTAGGCCCAGGCCTGGTAAGTCTGCCCCAGCAGCAAAAGCTGGGTCTTCCAAAGGTATGCCTTGTATTCCCCTCTACTTGTGGGCCTCTACTAATTATTGCGATAGCACTGGTTTGTGGCTCTCATCAAAAATGTTCTCCCTAAGGCCCTGGCATGCAACAACAGACTTCAAGTCCCAAGCCTCCACCCATTCAATGCAGAGACTCTTCTTATGGCAGTTGACCTGCCCTCAGACTTTGTTGCAGTAAGCCAACTCATAAATTTGTTACTTTTATCATGTTCACACTTATCGCTTAGGTTGCCTGTGCCTGCGGCAACTGCTGGAGTTGCCAAATCCCTTCCAAGTGTGACTACCAGGGTAATAGCATCAACTGCACCCCATGCACCAACCACAAGCTCTCCATGTGTTCTTGGAGGGCTAGTGCAGAAGACCATGCTACAGAGGCTGAGGCCTATGGGCCCGTTCACCATTTGTCAATCTCCAGTGAGTTCTTTTCTCTTTGGAATAATCACAATTAGGATCTGACTTAAGTTTTTCTAGATCTTTGTCATAAGGTTCAGGAGTGTGAGGCCTGGCTGTGCCAGTCATACCTTCTCATCAACAAGGGTGAATGGCTTCTGCAGTGGGTCAAGAAATATGGTCAAGACATCATCGACATCGTCAAGACCATTCTTGATCAAGAGCCCTCTGGTGCATTTGGCACCATCTACCTCGACCACCCTGAGCTCAAAGACACGCTCTGTACCCATGTTAGCAAGCTCGTGGACTTGAACCCCAACCCCTCACACAATGACCAACTCGACCTGCAGACCCTCACTTCCCTGTTACCCTCCAGTGTCTACAGGATATGCTCTTACTATGCTTCAATATTGCTTGATGACTTTGTTTCAAAACTAGTGCATGCTTTTGTTCTATTGACTTTCTTTACCACTTGACTCTAATCAAAATGTTGGGGATCTAGCACAAACTCCAAGTTGCCTCAGATACACTCCAACTATACCAAAGGGTCCTTAATTTAGCCCAATTGGCTTACTTGACTTTAGATGCAATGGCACTCTTGCTGACTTCACAATTTCTCACTAGTCACTTAAAATATTGTTCTCACTCCACTGATGCTTAGTTCACTTATTAGGTCTGATCACACAAAGTCAAATATATCAGTATACTCAGATTTTAGGTCTGAAATGTGGGGTGTAAATTGCTTAAAGCCTAGAGACTAAACTAACAGATCCTTAAATAGGCTAGCTGTGGATGGCCTTATCAGCAGGTGGACTGATGAACAGATGCATCAACAATGACAACGGTCTTGTGGAAAGAGAAAAGGCATGTGAAAGTGGCTGGGGGCTGATTGATGTAGCACAGAATGTTCCAGCATTGGCTAAACCAGTCCACAAACTAGCCCACAAACCAGCCCACATGGACCAGTTTAGCTGATGCTGGAATATTCCATACCACATCAACCAGCCCCCAGCTGCTTTCACATGCTTTCACTCTTGCTCCTGTACCACCACCATTGCCCACATTCAACTGTAATGTAATCATTTATCATTCAGTGTCACATCCCATTTCTGGACCCATTGTCCATTGTCCCATTGTTTATTGTTCTGGGTCCTTCAATGGGTATTCTCTTTATTGTTCTATTCATTATTGTTCTATTATTCATTGTTCATTGTTCTGCTGGCATTCATTACATAACCTAGATTCTCCATTGTTCTCAGTAGTATAAGTATCTAGGTAGTGTACTGGATTCCCCAGCTTGACTCTCAATCTTGACACACCCTTTCCTCTCTGTTCATCCTCTGTCTCCTGGGCCTTCGCCAGGATGACTTCCTCTTGTCTCTCCCCTGTCAAGACCAAGGCACTTCCTGTAAATTGGGGACAACCAGATGATGTGTAAGGTAGCAGTCAACAGGAACCAGCATGTTTATGTAATCAGCCATCACACCCAATGGCGACCTCAATAACTTTGCCTCAACTCCTTATTTCTGCATTCTGGTCCCATAGAATGATAGTGTATGATATTCTGAACAAGTCCCAGCTTCAAAAATAAATTTATTCTGAGAAATGACAGAGATATTTCATCCTGAAATTCTGAAAAGAAAAGTGGCTGGAAATGCCCCAAAATGCAAAATGTGAGCTTTTGGTAGGGGGTCAAATTTCAGAGGCCACAATTTGGCTGCTTACATAAAGTCTGCACATGACATTCTCACACCCAATATGGAAATACTGAAGCCACATTTGGGGCCTTCAAAAATCACGAATTCGAGGAGATCTGCAGTAATATTGAACCTCTCACCATGGGTCATCATTCAAATGCAGCAACAAAGTGTCTCAACAATCTCCAACAGACCACCATCCACAAGAAAGCCACCATTGAGGATGTCAAAGATGACAATGACTACAGTCCACCAGCCTTGCCAGATACCCTCAAGCACAGCTTTTTCTTCCTCGATGAGGATTCAGACTCGGACTCAGACTTGGAGAAAGAGGGTGATGAAGAAGACATTGAGGAGGAACTTATCAGCCTCAGAAACAAAGAGGCATTGCACCATTTTGCGACAACCTTAACAGAGTCCCAGAAGGTTGCAGCAGAAGCTGAGCGTGCAGCAGCAAGCAATCGACTACACCACTATACAAGGAACTCGAAATGCAGCCAGCGCCGCCATGCATTTAACTGCAAGGTGCTAGCAGCAACTGGCCAACAATTTGTCTCAAATATGTTCACATCAAGGACTCAGAACACAACAGAGACAAAGTCAACAGACAAAGTGGCTAGCATGCCACATGATGACCCGTTCAAGAAACCAGGCCATTAGAGGATCACAACCACTCTGGTCCGACTCCAGAAGAGCAAGTTGTGGTGAGGAGCCATGCTCCATACAAGCCAACAATTTTGTGGTCTCCCTTGGTTAGAGTACTGCCCACTTAGATAGCATGAAGTGTTATTTGCAATGGTCAAAGACTTGGATTGGTGCAATGACACCTAGTCGTGATAAGAACGCAAGGCCAGTAATTGTTATAAGTGTCACCTGTGACTAGGGACATGATGATCAATGGTGCTTAATGTACTATTACCCAAAGACTAGTATAACCTATACCACAGAGTCACAAACCAAAGCATGGTCTATTAGATTGTCTATGAGACCATCTGAGCATGAGAAGCCAGCATAGTCAATTGAGTAAAGAAGCAGAGGTGCTAAACACAATATGAGGGTGACCTGACATTACAAAAGTAAATGAAGTGTCATAATCCGGGGACTACAAAGCATATGAGGGAGTTTAACCATTCTACCAGAGTAAGGAACGGCCCATTGAGGTCAACACTATTACATTTATATTGTGATAAGCCATATCACATTAAGGTGCTAATCAGCCGAGATGGCAAACCAAGTGAAGTCTCAGGGATGGGTCAGGGAGCTCCATGTGCACACATGGAATAACTTAACTGCGGTAAGACTAGTATCATGGTCAGTCAAGCCAAGATTCACCAAGAGTAGTGAAGCAGTCTCATTGCCACACGATGCCTTCTGAGAATGATGGGTGGAACCATAATAGTCATAGTTACTTGTTGGGGATAATACCTGATTTAGTGCTGGTGGCATTGGTCCATGCTGTTCTCGTGATAAAACACCACATGCTTTGTTTCACTTGCATATCTAGCACATGGTACATTACTTGGCTCAGACTTTTAGATACTGAATACCCCTACTCACATTTGTATAAAAAGCCTCAAATAGTTTAGTTTAAGCAAGCAATTTTTACCCCAGAATCTGAATTTTCAGTTTGGTGTGATTTTGGCTTTGTGTGTTGAGTTCAGGGCAGTTTAAGAGAACAAGACAAGTTTAGCAAAGAGTATTTGAAGTTGAGTTTCTGTGATAAGGTTCTAAGTCGGTCAGAGGACCATTGAACCAAGCACCTGAGTACTGTAAGCTGGTCTGTGTACTGTAAGTCAGTCAAAGGGATAAGTTTAAGTCAAGGGCAATTGAGCCATTAGAAGTCAAGTCAAGAGAACAAGTCTGAGGGCATTTTTCAAGTGTCTAGTCATGTTAAGTCAAGCAGTTCATAAGAAGACAACCCACACCACCCCCAATACTATTCCCCATTGTACATCTTTGGGTTCTCAGGAGTTAGAGTTCGTTAGCTAGTCAAACTAGCTTGTTGAGCAAGTCCCCCAAATAGCATTGCTATTGCATTATTCAACAGTTCCATTGCATTCAGTTGCATACCGTAAATCATCTCCCTCCTCATCAATTATGAACATTATTGATTGGGTAGTATTCCAGTCAATAAGTTGTGTTATCTATGAAGTCATTGCACCAGGCACTTTGTAGTCTCACTCCCACAGCTACCTCTTCAGCAGAGCTACTCAAGCAGCTCCATGAGTGCCGTTGCCCTGAAGATCCAAGTCCTGAGCACCAGGCTGAAAGGCTGCTCAATCAACTGACCTACCAAGATTTCCCTGCCCTTCGACGAGCAAAAGCGAAACTCACTGTCGCATCGTGTGATAAGAAAATTGACATCTTCTTCCAGGCTCGAATAACAGGCATGGTTGGCACTCTGAACCTTTATCTTGATCCTCAGCTTTCGTACTCATGGCATCAAGTGTCGCTGATTGCAGCAAAGGCAGCAGGCTGTGGGCCAAATCATGCACAAAACCTTTGGACCTGGATACAAAAATATCTGAGAGCTGGAAAGCTACCATTGCATCGCTATGGCACATACCACTTGTCGATTCTCAAGGACAAAGACTTTGCAAGTGAGATCCAAGGGCATCTCAGTGAAATCTCGCAGAAGGGCTACATCCACGCTCGAGACATTGTGGACTACATTGCAACTCTGGAGGTGCAACAGCAGCTTGGAACTAAGGCAAGGGGCATCTCAGATTGCACAGCCCGATGTTGGCTGTGAAAATTGAGCTGGTGGTACACATGGAAGCAGAATGGGATGTACATTGATGGACACAAATGCAAGGATGTTGTAGCATACTGGGAAGGCTTTGTGAAATGCTGGAAAGAGTATGAATGTCCTTTCATCATCTATGACAATGATGGGAACATACTTTCAACACCAGTTGGGTTTCCTGTCCCGCAAATTGATCATTTCCATTTCATCCTTGTGACCCATGACGAATCAACCTTCTATGAGAATGACTGACAAAAGACCAAGTGGACACACAAAGCACATGTGCTATTTAAAGCAGGGAAAAATCACAACAGGTATTTTGACAATGATGACCTCTTAGCACAAGTTGACACTGCTATTGACATATTTGAAGGAAAGACAAATGGCTTTGCAACTGGCCTTTTTCTCTTTGACAATGCACCAAGCCATCAGAAGCAAGCTCAAGATGCCCTCTCCACCTGCAAAATGCCAAAGAACCCTCATGCAACATGGTGCCATCACAAGGACGGACCAAGGATGTGGATGACGACATTTGGTGAGAACAACATGAGTCAAGACTTCTATTTCCCAGATGACCATCCCACCATGCCGGGATGGTTCAAAGGAATGGAAATTATTATCCAGGAACATGGACTTTGGCCAGAGAAGGGCTTGAATGCACAGTGCAAAGCATTCAAGTGTGTAAAAGGGAAAACTGACTGCTGTTGCCAACGTGTCTTGTTCTGCCAGCCCAATTTCATCAATCAGAAGTCAGCTCTCAAGGAGCTCATCACACAACACAGCCATATCTGTGACTTTTATCCAAAGTATCACTGTGAACTTAACTTTATCGAGCAATATTGGGGTGCCACAAAGCTTCAATACTGAATCAGCCCAAAGACAAACAACATAAAGGAGATGGAGGAAAATGTTTGTAACTCTCTCAATGATGTTCCTCTCATTCAAATCAGATGGTGAGTTTCCCATTCTCTTTATATTATTTAATACATTTAATAGTCATTCAGATATGCAAACCGGGCTGCGCAGTTTATCAACAGCTATGCACAAGGTCTCACAGGTCCTGAGGCAGCCTGGGCTAACCAAAAGTACCACGGCCACTGTCTTCTCCCCCTGAAGATGGCTGCAAAGCTCAAGAAAGAGTTCTTGGAGTGGTATAATAAATTAAAGACTACTGTAGTGTCTATTGTATCCTAGTTTCCCTACCTCAAACTTTTGGTTTTTGCTGAACCTTACATTTGGCCAGGCTTGGCACTGACTAAGCTGATTATATAAACATGCTGGTTTCTGTTGACCACTACCTCAGGGGCACAGCACAAGAGCATGCTGAGGCCAAGTTCCCCCTCCTGTTGAGGTCATTACACCACTGGAGGGTAGCATGCAAAGTCCCATATCTCTCCCCATTCCATAAACATCAATGACTTGCCTGGACATGCATCCATTGCACTTTCCAGCCAGCAGACTGGAAGTGCACTATGTTCTCAGATGAGTGCTATGTCTACCTCAGTGACAATCATGGATGCATTTATATTACACAAAAACCAGACAAGTGGCTACTGGAGGAATGTCTAGTGCCAACATTCAAGCAATCAACAGTACAGGTTATGGTGTGGGGTTGTATAATGGAGGAGAGGAAGGGACCCCTGGTTGTGTTGGAGTATCCAGGAGGAAAGGGTGGTGGATTGAACTCAAACTGGTACAGTGAACAAGTTCTTGAACCTGTTCTGCTTAATTTCTATCATCTCATGAATGAGGAGAGATGAGCGGTTAGGTTTCAGCAGGACAGTGCTCCCAGTCACTGCAGCAAAGCCACAAAGAAATGGTTTGCTTATCATGGCATCTCTTTGGCACCTCATCCCTCCTTGTCACCTGATCTAAACCCCATTGAGCCAATTTGGCACATTCTTAAAACCATTCTCCAACATCTTGAGCACCCACCAACCACAGTCAAAACCTTGCATGCTGCTGTTTTCTGTACATGGGAGGAGATTCCATTGGAGACTATTAATAGACACATTGGCAACATGGGCTGTCATGTCAAAGCCATTTTGGCTGCATGCAGAGGTCATACATGATTCTAATAATATTTTATATACAGGGTATGACCAGTCCTTTGTACACTGTTCCTTTGTACACCTTTTTTCACTGAATTTCTCAATGGTTGCTGATCACATTTGAATAAAAAGTACACCATTTGAAAGGTAGACTTCTGCTCTATCAAATAGTACACTTGTGAAGGCCCTCACATCAGTCCTTGTCAAAAGAAATGAGGGACAATATGGGTATTAATTTGATCAGAGTTTAAAATGACATTCCCACTTCTTTGTACAATACAAAACATCATCTCCTATGTTCCTTACTCAACTGATTGATATGAAAATTTATCAAGGTAGTCTGATCTATGAATTATACTACTATTCCAAGTTTGAGAGAAATTGAACATGATGCAGGTGAGTTATTTGCTGAAAGCTATTTTTAGTGTACAAAGGAATGGTCATACCCTGTATATACATACATATTTGACCTATCTCTTGTAGAAAAATTAGTTGAACCTAGTAGGCAATTGACAAAGCAACACTGATTCCCTCAAGCAGCCTTTGTTGTAGTTTGTGTGAAATTTGCATGACTGAAGTCACTTTTGGTGGGGCTGAGCATCAGTACAGAGCAGAAACAATTATAAAACTTATCCTATCTCACTCCTAGAAGGTAACCTTGGAGTATAGAGGCTGTTCAATAAGAGGGGGCAATGTGACAATGAGAGGAGGAAGAAAGAGAGAGATGTGAGAAATGAGCCCACCTATGAGCCTTATTCCCACATCTCTATACAGCAGACAGGCTATTTCCCTCAAGTTAAATATCTCAACAAGTGCTATAGCTATTTTCATAAAATTTCTTACACCATTACTCAGAATATAAATAAACATTTTTGCAGCATTTCAGAATTTTAAGATGAATAATAAAGGAGAAATCATCTGTGCTCTTTTTGAAAAACCCACATCTCCATATCAGGAAAAAGCCCTTGGTCCTAAGTCATCATAAGGATTTTCCCACATGTTCTAGCTTACCCATGATGGCCTGAGAGTCCTGATGGTCCTAAGTAGTCTCTAGGGACACTCTAAGATATATAAATTTCAGAGCTCTCTCCAAGTCAGTTCTGGGTAAGAGATATGGGCTGTAGGACCCTCACATGTCTTTAAAATAGTCAAAAGTCTTACAATATTTCACCCTCTGGTCAAATTTGACCTTGCCAGCACTCTCTGCCATTGTTGAGCTTCTAAGTCCATGCCATGTCTAGTAGCACATCTGAATCCCACTCAATTTTGCACATACTATATACCTCCAGAATCACATTCATTCGCTCTTTTCAAATATGGAGTTTAATTTTTGCAATGCAGATTGCTTCCTGACTAAATATCAATTTTATGGCAAATTTCATGCAGTATTAAGCAGTGAACAGTTAATATCTCGGAAACCGCTGAAGCTACAAATTCAAAATTTTGCACACTTGGTTACAACACATTAGCGTTAATGTTCCCCAATTCATAGCCAGCTGCATTGCGTATTTCCTGAGATACAGCCTGTTCTCCTCCTCATCACAGACAAAAAAGCGGCATCGCAATATCTTCACAAATATTCACTCGTTTCAGCTCAAAATTTAGGAATGTTATTGCTCATATGTCAACTACATGTCTGCAAGATTGGGTATACTTAGCTGTAGCGGTTACAGAGATATATAGCTTTTTCAGCATGCACACAAGTGTACAACTTGATTACTTTATGATTCAAGCAGTACAGATCTTGGATCATTATTATTTCTATTATGTTCCTGTCAGTTCCTATTTTATTTGAATGCTTTTGGATCCCCCAAGTGCTCAAAGCTATTGACCCACATCCACAAGTGCATGGGAGTTAGGCTGTCGTGACAATCTAGCTTCCATGCTCTACAGAGATCACGTGCATGTTGAACTTCTCGTTTCAGCAAGTCTCGTCTCGTTCCTCATGACTCTACCCTCCACTCCCTCTCTCCTAATGCTGCCTACGCCCCCCTCTTTCAATCAGGATATAGGTAAGTAAAGTATTTATTAAAGTCTTTACTGACTGACTAAATATGTTTAGTACCAGCAGAACCTGTGAGTGCAAGGAGGGCAAGCACAAGGAGGACAAGCACAAGGAGGGTGAGCATGAGGGTGAGAAGGGTAAGCACAAGGAGGGTGAGGACAAGGGTGAGTGCAAGGGCAATGAAGGCAATGAGGGGGAGCACAAGGAGGAGCACAAGGGCAAGGAGGGCAAGGAGGCGAGTGCAAGGAGGGCAAGGAGGGTGAGTGCAAGGAGGTGATACACCTGCAATAAATTTGTGGTCAAAATCCCTTTGAAACACACCATTGAGTGAGCCATTGAGGACAAAGCAGGCTGAGCAGTCAGGTATCCTCGTGATATCAGATTAGATAAAGACATACACTGGATCTGATTACCAAGAGGGCTCCTCAGAGTCGCATCTTGATAATGACTAAGAGATAACACCTCAGCGAGTGAAATGTGGCTGTCAGAGAGACGTGCGATCACCGTGTCAAAGGTTGATAAGATTATTCCCATGGTACAGTCTTTGTATGGTGTAGCTGGCATTTCAAACTGAAATCCTATGAATTTTATATGGTTGGAAAGCTATTTAAAAGGGCTATCCTATCATGATAAAGGGAAGCAAGTATATGTCGCAGAGGGTATGAAATCGTGCACATACTATGTTATGTGAAATGCTGACATAACACTCACACGATGACATGCGCTAAGACAAGCGCCTGCGTGCGCAATTGGGGTGCAATAGCACAAGCCATAGATCATCCAATGATCTTTGGAGAAGGTTTTCTTGGCTAGTTACTTGCTGAGTAAAGAATTCTTGACCCAGAGCAATGGTCTGAGTAAGCACCAGAACCTCGGAGAGCCATGTTCTAAGAGAAAACATACAAAAGGATGAGATGGGGTGATCACACCCCCAAGCAATCGCCTCTCAGTGATACCAGAAGGTCGTCGAGAGTACTAGCCAACGCACCGAGCATGTACAATCGATTGCAAGAGCTTCTATTGTGAATTCATAAGTGTTTTACACTATCAACTGTGATTTCCTATGGGTAAAACCGTGTTTGTTTGTGAGTATCTGGGGGATTAAGTGAGGCATCTTTGAACCAGAAGGAAGACCACTGGTTTGTTGACTCACCTGAGTTGTTGTTTGAGCAGAAAGAAGACTACTGCTCCGAGATTTTGAGTTTTTGGGTAGAAGGAAGACCACTACCCCAGAGTTGAGTTAGTTTGGGACAGGAAGACCATCCCAGACTTGAGAACATCACACTTAGGAGACAGAAGACCACTCCGACATGTTAGATGAGATAAAGACAACAAGATTTCATTTTATTTCGATTTTCTTTCTATTTTATCGAGACTCTATTTCAATTTTATCGAGACTCTATTTCAATTTTCTAATTGAGATCTATCTTGCCCCCACGAACTTAAGAGTGTGATTGGTTGTGAGGTTTTGACTTTTGGCTTCACCCCACATTAGTCATCTCAGAGGGCGAGGAGGGCGAGCACAAGGAGGGTGAGCACAAGGAGGGCAAGAGCAAGGAGGGCAAGGAGGGTGGGCATGAGGAGGGTGAGGAGGATGTGCAAGGGCAAGGAGCTTGAGGAGCATGAGGGCAAGGAGGGTAAGGAGGACAAGAAGGGTGAGCACAACCAGTATGTCATTTGCATCTCTGTATTTGTTTCTGCAGTTGCTGATCACTTCTTTACACAGAACCCACAATACTGATCACAGGTATGTTTTATATGATAGAGTAAATAGACTGGATGACCTTGAGCATCCATGATCAACTTGTAGATTACTTATTGTATAATTTAATGAATAAACCACATTTTTCATATATTATGTTAATCTTTGGAAGTCCCAGGAAGACCTGAATAAGAAAAGTCTAAATCATGAAGATGTCCTCAGAGTGTCCTAAAGAGAACCTAAGTAGGACCTGGGTAATTCCTACTTTCAAACAAGGTCATGTGGACTTAGAGTTGTCCTGACTGACCTTGCAATCCTATGCATCTTAGCTGTGATCTAGGAGAGCCTCAGGACCAGGGGCTTTTTCCTGATGCATATCTTGGTCAATACTTGTCACCATAACCTCTTGCTTGACATACAATATCAACAATATGTAATCTAGTCACCTGTAAATGTTCAAGATTGTAGCCATAGCAGTTCCTGAGATATTTAGCTGCCACCTCTTGTATGAGCATCTAGCCTGTCTGAGTTTGAAATGACTTAGAACTTGAAAACAGCACACTTATTTACAGTGTTGGTGCAATATCTCAGCAACCACTGAAGCTATGATGTTGAAATTTTGTGAGCATGTATCTATAGTGTCCTTGTTAATGGATCTTGACTTATGAGGTTTCATCTTTATTATTTATTGAGATATTCAAATGCAGGTTTTCACAAATGTGCAACTATTATATCTCCATGAGTTTGCAATCTAAAGTTTCCAAAATTTAGGATTGAGTATACATACAGTATGCATAGTTGCATGAAAAATTTCAGACCAATCAAGTAAGCAGTTCCTGAGATATGTTATCCTTACTCTTGAAAAAGCAGTCAGTGACAGTAGTAATGGAAATATGTTTCTAGACATGTTATAGCTCTATAGTAGTTGGTAATTCATAATTTCTGAGATATATCTAGCAGGAGGATGTTGGAAAAGAAAGGAAAGAGCAGGCTGCCACACCACATACCTTGGCATGGTGCATGGGAGCTGTGTGTAGTCTCCCTCAACACTCCCCCAGATGAGGCAGCTCCTGTCAATCTACGTGTTGGTGGCAGTGTTGAGCTGTAGTGCATGGACAAACTTCTTGTGTGTTGCCCACAGTAGCGGCTTTGTCAGTATATCTGCAACATTTGATTCTGTCAGAATCTGGATGACATCCACCTCACATTCATTGACCCGTTCGCAAATGTAGTGGTGTTTTATGTGGATGTGTTTCGCCTTTGTGATGCCCTTCACATTTTTTGCCAGGTCGACAGAGCCCTTATTGTCACTGTAGATCTTTGCAGGTAAAGTCTGAGCCAAGCCTGCCTCGCTCATCTACTCTCGCATCCATACAGCCTGCTGGCAGGCCCGATTCAGGGCCATGTACTCTGCCTCAGTGGTGGATGATGCAGTGGTTGGCTGTCGCTTTGAGCTCCATGTGACTGGTCCACCAGCCATGGTAAAGACATACCCACTAGTAGAGCGCATGGTGTCAGGGTCACCAGCATAGTCTGAGTCTGAGTATCCAGAGATGTTAAGGCTGTCAGGAGAGTTTGGGTCGTAGGTGATCTTGTAGTGAATAGTGCCCTTGATGTACGTGAGTACGTGCTGGAGTGCTTTCCAGTGTGTCGGACTGGGGTTTGCCTCGTATCGGGAGAGAAGGTTGATTGCAAAGGAGAGATCTGGGCATGTTCTGACCTGCAGCCACATAATGCATCCCAGTCAGCCATGTAAGCTAGAAAACTATATCAAAGACTGTATTTAAGCAAAGTATGCTCATCAGTCAGGACTGTCAGTTTACAGCCAGGCCTATGGTGTGACTGTGCTGGGATGCTGGGGGGGGGTAGAGGATTTGTTTGGAGGTGGGATGAGGTAAATAAATGTACAAACAACCCTCTCAGGATGGGGTGGGGGTTGGGTAGGCCTGCAGGGGGCAGGAAGAGGGCAGAAATACATTCAAAACAGGCAGAAATGGTGGATAGGGGCTATTAAAATGAGTAGGGATGGCGGGGTGGGTTCTGGGTGCGGTGGGGGCCTAAAAATGGGTTGGGTGGGTCTGGATATGAATGGTAATAATTATCATGGCATCCACAGGATGCAGGGTGGGGCAGCGGGGCTGTAAAAGGCAAAAAAACTCAAAAAAAGCCAAGTCTTTTGTGATTTTAATACAAAACAAATGAATATCAAATTGAATACTTAATATTTCAGCGGAAAACTTTGGGGACATATGTACCTATAATAGAGAATGCTTCACAAATATTTTGAGCATTTATTATGAATTATAGGATGCGCCACACCGTAGGGAATAGCGGGCACAGCAGGTTTTGATGTGTTGTTCCTAATTAGGCAGCTTTTCCCAAATTGGCAAATCTGCACATCCATGTGGAATTCCAGCTTCCTCTCGCATTATTTCGCTTAGCTTTGGCTGAGCAAAATGTTGGGTACATTAATACCTTCCTGTAGACACTGGTATTATGTCAAATGGTTGGAAACTCGTTGAGATATGGCAAATGTGATTTTTGCTACTATAATGCTTGGTGCACCCATGCATCCCTGGGCATGTTGAGGGCCATTTGACTCAGCCAAAAATGATGAAATACATGTCTGATAGTAATGGCACTATTGATAATGCCAGGGGCTGTCTGTGTGTAGTAGATATGAGGGGGTGTATAGGTACACCAGGAGACCCACTGCAGATACCCTACTAAACACAGCTCTGACAGTCTGAAAGTTGGTACATGGGTAGTACATATTCATATTTATTCATGAATTTAACAGATTTTGTCATAATTTTATATGGCCTTGAAGTTGGATTATTGACTGACTTGCCAGAATCTAAAATATTCTATTGAACTCCAGAATGAGGGATATTGGCACATGTAAGATCATGATAAACTTGGGAGAGCAAGGGGATGAGTCTGTGTAAAGTTATTGAGAGGAGAAGGAGGAGGTGATCCCCCACATTAGTATCTATGTAAATACCTACCAAATCTGCATATCGCATGCATTGAATGGTGTGTTCGTGTCAGGATAATGTATGTTAGCATATTTCAGTAGTGACAGATGCAGCTCAGATGCCTGGGGGACATGGCATTTGAGAAATAGTGGAAAATGCGCAAAAAACACTAAAATATTTAAAATGAGTACCTCGGACTTGCTCAAGATTTACCAAACTGCATATATGAGGGCCTGTTAACACTCCAAAGGGACTGCAAAAGACTGGATGAGATTCCGAGCAGTGGATGGAAAGATATGGGAAAGGGCATCCAAAATCACCACTTGCATGATAAAGTTGTTACTGGATGTTGATGCCAGTGCTGTCATTCTGATACCTTTTCCCATATCTTTCCATCCACTGCTCGGAATCTCATCCAGTCTTTTGCAGTCCCTTTGGAGTGTTAACAGGCCCTCATATATGCAGTTTGGTAAATCTTGAGCAAGTCCGAGGTACTCATTTTAAATATTTTAGTGTTTTTTGCGCATTTTCCACTATTTCTCAAATGCCATGTCCCCCAGGCATCTGAGCTGCATCTGTCACTACTGAAATATGCTAACATACATTATCCTGACACGAACACACCATTCAATGCATGCGATATGCAGATTTGGTAGGTATTTACATAGATACTAATGTGGGGGATCACCTCCTCCTTCTCCTCTCAATAACTTTACACAGACTCATCCCCTTGCTCTCCCAAGTTTATCATGATCTTACATGTGCCAATATCCCTCATTCTGGAGTTCAATAGAATATTTTAGATTCTGGCAAGTCAGTCAATAATCCAACTTCAAGGCCATATAAAATTATGACAAAATCTGTTAAATTCATGAATAAATATGAATATGTACTACCCATGTACCAACTTTCAGACTGTCAGAGCTGTGTTTAGTAGGGTATCTGCAGTGGGTCTCCTGGTGTACCTATACACCCCCTCATATCTACTACACACAGACAGCCCCTGGCATTATCAATAGTGCCATTACTATCAGACATGTATTTCATCATTTTTGGCTGAGTCAAATGGCCCTCAACATGCCCAGGGATGCATGGGTGCACCAAGCATTATAGTAGCAAAAATCACATTTGCCATATCTCAACGAGTTTCCAACCATTTGACATAATACCAGTGTCTACAGGAAGGTATTAATGTACCCAACATTTTGCTCAGCCAAAGCTAAGCGAAATAATGCGAGAGGAAGCTGGAATTCCACATGGATGTGCAGATTTGCCAATTTGGGAAAAGCTGCCTAATTAGGAACAACACATCAAAACCTGCTGTGCCCGCTATTCCCTACGGTGTGGCGCATCCTATAATTCATAATAAATGCTCAAAATATTTGTGAAGCATTCTCTATTATAGGTACATATGTCCCCAAAGTTTTCCGCTGAAATATTAAGTATTCAATTTGATATTCATTTGTTTTGTATTAAAATCACAAAAGACTTGGCTTTTTTTGAGTTTTTTTGCCTTTTACAGCCCCGCTGCCCCACCCTGCATCCTGTGGATGCCATGATAATTATTACCATTCATATCCAGACCCACCCAACCCATTTTTAGGCCCCCACCGCACCCAGAACCCACCCCGCCATCCCTACTCATTTTAATAGCCCCTATCCACCATTTCTGCCTGTTTTGAATGTATTTCTGCCCTCTTCCTGCCCCCTGCAGGCCTACCCAACCCCCACCCCATCCTGAGAGGGTTGTTTGTACATTTATTTTTTTTTTTTTTTTTTTTGTATCCGCAAAGCTCTCCCATTGTGGCCAGGCCATATGTCAGGGGTCAGCTACAGTACTTTTACTCTAATTTGTCCTCTATGGACGTGCCCTGGCTAATCTATCTAATCAGCAGCTTTTTGCCACACTGAGTGCGATGTCAAGCGGTATGTAGCTTGTAGCTAGGAGTCCGCATAATACATGTGGCATAGCCCACATCTGTAAGTAGGATTAGTTGTCATATTATGGTGGATTATATTTGAATTAAGAGGTGATTTTGTGCCCGTCATTGTAATCTCAAGTCGCAGGGGTTTCCACTGCTGGGATTCGGCCGAAGACTGCCTGCAGTCGTCCGGTTGTCTCAATGTACTGAAAAAGGTGAGGTAGGAGCTGGCGTTCTGTGAGTAGTCGGTCTAGCGAGTGGGCTGTGTATCCGGCTTTCCTGAACATGTGTTCCCTTGCTCTGGAATGTGTGGGGCATTGGAGGAGGTAGTGTTCAACTGTCTCATCATGTTCTTTGCATCGTGGGCAGGTTGCACTGTCAGCTTTCCCTATTCGGTGGAGGTGCTTCACGAGTGGTACATGGCCTGTTCTGAGCTGGTATAGGATGCTTGCCTGTTTCCGTCGGAGCCGTCCAGCTAGTTTCTGGTACGCTTTGGCTGGCATTTCATCATCATAATGTTTCATCCTTGCATATCTCTTTGTCTTCTTCCATTCTTGCCCAATCTTCTTTTTTAATTTGGCCATAAACTGCTGTTTCGTAGCTGACTTGCTAATAGGGAGGTTTTTCTGTAGGGCCTTCAGGAGTTGTGCTTTGGGACTTGATCCCTCAGTTGATGCCTTTTTTGCCTCGCTATCTGCCTTCTCGTTTCCTTCGATCCCGATATGCCCTGGTGTCCATCGAACAGTGATGCGAATACCACTGTGCTTTCTTCGTACGTCACCAATGCTTTCATGGAGCATGTCCCATAAGTGGTGTCCAGGCCCTGGTTTCATACTTGGTACAGCTCAGATTGCTGCTTGGCTGTCAACACCAATGGAAACTGTGCATATCCACTGTCATTCCCTCCGGATTAGCTCCATGGCTAAAATTAGCCCAACACCCTCTCCTTCATAGACCGTGTGTGCTGCTTCTTTCCCAAGTCGGTATCGGAGTGTTCCTTTGACGGCTCCTCCTCTGTACATCCTCCTATCCGCCCTTCATACCCTGATCCATCCGTATACACCCTTACTTCATCACCTGCTCTTTTCTCCTCCTCATCCTCCACTTTCTCCTTGTTTCTCATTATGTGAGTCCCTACTTGAGAGGTCCATTTCGGACCCTGCCTGACACCTTTGATCTTTTCCATGCTTTCAGGTTGCAATTTGAATGTATGCATTAAGTCGTGCAAGGGAGTTGGGTGAGTCTTGATCCGTCTTTTTGCCGCGGCTTTGACTGCAGAGTGTAGGGGGTGTGTCACTGGTAATGTTGCCAGTCTCAAGGCTGCCGTGAATCTGATTTTCTCAACCAGGAGGTGGAATGGCATGATACCTGTATAGGCTTCTGCTGCATCATGTGGAGATGAGCGCATGCTGCCCATTACCATGTTTGCGATCTGTCCTTGGATTGATGACAGTCTTGCTCCCATGACCCCTCCTCCTTGTTTCGTGCCTTTCCATTCCGGTGTTAGAAAAATGTCAGCTGCGTAGAGGATTCTTGGAACAGCAACACTCAGGTAGAGTCTCCTCATGTGCTTGAAGGATGCCCCTCCTGCAGGCTTTGCCATCCATCGGAACTGTGCTAACCATTCTGCTCCCTTTGCAATAGCTGCTGCACCTTGCTCCTTCCATTGTAGTTCTTGGTCGATATTGACTCCAAGGAATTTGATGTGAGTAGATGGCTTGATTCTTTGACCCCATATGACTAATGTTGGTCGCAGCATCCCGATCTTCTTTCCTACCCCGAGTGGGTTCTCTACCTTCTTCAAGCAGTTGGAACTTCTCTATTCCAAATGTGCAGTTGTGCTTTCTCGCCCATTCCAGCACCCCTCCGTCTCTTTCCATCATCTCCTTCAGCTTCCTATGGGTTTCCTCGAAGTCCCTTCCCGTCGCCACTAGTGCCACATCATCCACAAAGATGAAGACCCATTCGCCATTTCAGTAGACTGGTATTATCAGGATGTTTGCATTGTAGAGGATGTAGAGAATGAGTGATTTTGGGTCCCCTTGGTCTAAGCCATCCTCGATGTCGAAAGAATCTGACCGGTAATCGTCGAATATCGACCTTGTGGTTCGTCCCTCATTTCTCCTTTGCACCCACTCTACATGCTCCTCTGGTACTCCCCTCATTCTTAGCCCATGTGCCAGGGTGTCGATTGACACACTCGGAAAGGCCCCCTTGACATCTAGAAAAAGTACTGACGCGACTTGT